CCGGACAGCTGATGGCAGCCATTTTGGCGCCCTCGTTGTGCGAGGGGAGGGCGCGAAAATGGCTGCCAGCCCCTGGGAAACATCGCACAACGGTAAGTATTCTATGGCATTGGAACGCATTAAACGCTGTTTAATGCGTTCCAATGCCTTTTTCTGTTCCGTACTGCGATGTTTCCCACAGCGAAGGTTAATCCGGAACGGATTAACCTCGCTGTGCGGGGCACCACTGTATACTGTACGTAATTTTGTATATTATGTTTTTCTTGAGAGACTCTGCACCAGATATTTGATCCCATAAGCTCTCAGTTTGCTGTCGGAGTTCAGTCCCTTCCCTCATGTTCAGGAGGTGTATGGCTGTCAAGAGAGTGGCCTTGCTAATGATTTTCCCTTTTCAGAGCACTCTTTATGGAGCCCACATTACTAATGCTGGATGAGCCCACCAACCACCTGGATCTCAACGCTGTCATCTGGCTGAACAAGTAAGCTGCTGGCTGAGCTGTCTTTGGGCAGGAGAGGGTTAACTGGTGTGGCTGTGTGCCTCCTTAAGTCCCGTAATAAAAGCAGCTCCGTGGAAGGGTGGGTGATGTGGGAAGGACAAAATCCCAGGGTCAAACAGGTAGTTGAAGGGCAGGTGTGTTTGTATGTGTGTATGAAGTGGTCACATTTGAACAAGATTCCCAGGGTGTTTTTCTCTCTGTGTGTGTCTCTCTCCACACACACACACACACACAATCACATTTGAACAAGATTCCCAGGCTGTTTTTGTTCTCTCTGTGTGTGTCTCTCTCTCTCTACACACACACACACACACACACAGAAAGAGAGAGAGCAAGCATGCATTACCGTATTTTTTCCATGTATAAGATGATACTTTTGTCTAAAATCTTCATACTAAAAAGATGAGGGTCGTCTTATACATGGAAGTAAGCTGAGGAGAGAACAAAAACAAATGGAGGGGGGAAGGGATCAAAGCGATCCTGCAGGACTTTGATCCCTTTCCCCCTCCACTTGCTAAGCCCCGCTTAGATTTCTTAATTTTGGGTTAGAAAAATGGGGGGGGGGTGTCTTATACATGGGGCATCTTGTACACAGAAAAATACGGTGAGTCTTTTTTAAATTTCATGTCATCATTCAACAGAATAGCAGATGCTTAGTTATTAATTGGTGGAAAAATTTCATGTCATTGTTCAACAGGATAGCAGATGCTTAGTTATTAATTGGTGGAGATGCTGCACTTATTCACATTGTTTCTATCCTGAAACATTTGCTTTGCCAGTTGTGTAATTTTAAAGGAAGGCCTTGAAATGCTCCCTTTTCTCGTCATAGCTACCTTCAGACGTGGAAGAAGACTCTCCTGATTGTTTCCCACGACCAGGGCTTCCTGGATGACGTTTGCACAGACATTGTGCATCTGGATATGCAGAAACTCTTCTACTACCGGGGAAACTATAGTGAGTTGAATGATACCCATTTCCTACCCAACGCAGGGCAGTTAGGAAGTGACAAGCTTAGGCTTCAGGACCAGTTTTTCTGAGAAGGACAGTCAAGAATGTACAGTTCTAGCTTACTAAGAAGCTTGTAAATCTCCTTATTTGTACGAGTGATTAACTTTTTTGGGGGTGTGTGTGCAAAACTTACGAATCTTCATCTGTGACATGGAAGCTGTCTGTGAATGGGTTCAGCCCTTGCTGCTAGGCACAGGTCGTGCAGTCTAAAAATTCAGCAATTATAGTCTAGACCCCAGGAGGCTCCTTTCCCCAATTCCCATGTTAAAGATTGTGAAATATTCCTTGGCTCCTCAGCCATTCTCAAACACCCCCCCCCTTTTTTTTACCATGCCCATAAACACAATATGAAAGAAATACAGGCCAAATCAGGATTGCATAAATCACATAATGAACTTTAAAAGTTGGTGTGTGAAGAATTATTTCCAGTCTGTGCCCCCCCTGTCAAATATGCCAGCCCTCTGCCCCCCCCCCCGGGTGGCAGGGCATGAAAAGAACTGCTCTAGCTCATCTGAGTTTCTTTTTGCTGAAGTTTCTTTCTTATTCCTTCTGTATTCCTATAAAAAATAATTACGTTGTGTTGGCAATTTTTGATCCTTTCTCCATTCAGTGGATTATCAAATACCAGGAATTCTAGTTTCTGTTCATTGCAGTCAAACATTGTGGGGTCTCAGAAATTGTCTGTTTAGTCTCTTTTCTGTATTTAAAATATTTTTGTGCTACCTTCCTTGGCCCGGTCTCCCGAGATGTCAAATAGTTAGGAACTGGTGGACATTCCCTGACATGATTAGATGTCTGGTAGCGTTTGATAGATATTGAGTGGATACATTGATATCAAAATGGACAAAAGAAAATGTGGAGGTGGATTTGGGGAGCAGATTTATTGTAGAAGAGGTACGTAGCTCTGTTAGTGCCACTCTTACGTCTGAGGAAGGGGACTTGTCCCCAAAAGCTCACATTAAAACAGACCAGTCAGTCTTGAAGGTGCCACAGTATTTTTAGCTGTGCTAGTGCCACTCTTACGTCTGAGGAAGGGGACTTGTCCCCGAAAGCTCACCTTAAAACAGAGCAGTCAGTCTTGAAGGTGCCACAGTATTTTTGTCTCCTTAGGTTTATTTCAGCTATGTGATACATTTTGGTATATGGCTACTAACGTCCTCTGTCATAGCTCAAGCAACTCTCCTTCTTACCCATCCTGTTCTAAATCTCAGAATTCTCGTACTAAATCGGTTCAAAATCTCCCTTTAGAAAGCTCACCTTAAAACAGAGCAGTCAGTCTTGAAGGTGCCACAGTATTTTTGTCTCCTTAGGTTTATTTCAGCTATGTGATACATTTTGGTATATGGCTACTAACGTCCTCTGTCATAGCTCAAGCAACTCTCCTTCTTACCCATCCTGTTCTAAATCTCAGAATTCTCGTACTAAATCGGTTCAAAATCTCCCTTTACAGATTTGGATATTAAGTATTTGCTCTCTTCCTATTTAAGCAAAATTGCTTAATACCGATTGTAATTTTTGCTGTCATTCTTGCAACCGTTTGTGTGCTGGGATAAACTGAGAGAGGGCGAGCGCAAGTGAGAACATTTTCCCAAAGAAAAGAAGCAAGCTTTGGCAATGCTTCAGTTCCTTTTTCTAAATACAAGCCTAGGCAGTGTTTGGGATGAAGTCGTTTTTGGGAGGCCTCCCAAAAATCCTCTTTTCCATCTTGAATGCTACTAGACTGTGCAATGGCCATACCCTCGAGTCCCCTTTCGGGGCACCTCCTTCCGTTGTAGATACGACATCAGTTGCTTTCTTTGTTCTGAGGGGAGAAAAAAAAGATGTCTTTTGTGGTTTGCTTTCTCTCTCTCTCTCTCTCTCTCTCTCTCTCTCTCTCTGTGTGTGTGTGTGTGTGTGTGTGAGAGAGAGAGAGAGAGAGAGAGAGAGAGAGAGAGAGAGAGAGAAATCATTGCTGGGACAGGAGAAATGGAAGTATCACTCTCCCACACCACTTTACTGTGAAGGATAAAGCAGCATTTGCACCGGAGACAGTGGTGCCTAAAATCCTATCCTTCCCCTTCTCTCTCTCTCTCTCTCTCTCTCTCTCTCTCTAATGTATTTAGTAAGCAAGAGAGCCTTGTAACCGGCTTAAACAAATACATGAGCATTTCCTTCTTGGTGAGAAAACCCCCTCTTTGCCCTATTCTCTGCCTTCCCCATCTGGCTCTTCTTCTAAGAAACCGAGACTCTGTGAGTGCTGACGGGGAAACAACCTTTTATTTGGATGCTGGCATAAACTGTGGCAAGTGTCTGAACTGTGGCAGATGACGTAACTGTGGGCAGAGGCACTCCTCTTGAGACTTCCCCCCCAGCCCTGTCCTGCTCTCCCAACTGTATGATTTGTGACTGTTCTCTAAACGGATCCTTGTGTTTGTGTCTTGTGGCAAAACAACAGAGAGTGCTGTGGGCCCCTTAAGGACAAGTAATATTATTACAAGGATGAGCTTTCTTGTGTTATATCCCACCTGCATTTGTAGTTTCTCTTATCAGAAATGGCTTGAAGCTTCCCTTTCTCACTTGAATTAGCCTAAAGGAAAGCCTGACACCACCCAGCACTGGCCTTTAATACAAAATTATTGTCAGCTGCATTTTGACTCTGAAATGAGTCTCCTAGGTTCAGAATGGGCTCAAAGGTTTCTTAATTCTAGGTATCTGTTTTGCAGAGATTGTGTGTGCTTCGCTTCTGCTTGATATTGGGATTGTAGTAGTACGAAGCACAAGAAACAACCCTGCAAGGAATCTTCTCACTCCTGCCCTGTTGTGTCTGTCTGGCCACAAGCAGGGGCATCGGCGAGGTCATTCCTGGGCTCTCGCGATCAATCTCTTTCCCCCTCCTCTCTTGTCAGTGACTTTCAAGAAGATGTATCAGCAGAAACAGAAGGAGCTGCTTAAACAGTATGAGAAGCAGGAAAAGAAGCTGAAGGAACTGAAGGCTGGAGGGAAGTCCACGAAACAGGCAGTAGGTCTTCAGCTTATGGTCTGTTACAGCCGTGGTCCCCAAACTTTTCTGAACTACAGACCGGTTGGGGGGCAGAGTCTGTGCACGGGGGGTGGGGCACCCCCACTCGCAGGTGGATTTGGTGCATTTGCGTGGGGGCAGGGCATGTTCATGTGCATGCACAGCATGCTCGCAGGGGGTGGTGCGCTTGCACAGATAGGTGTGGTACGCTCGCGGGTGAGTGGGGCGCACTTGCATGCATTTGCGGGTGGGCATGACACGCTTGCGTGCATGTGCGGGTGGGCTTGCCATGCTTGTGCGCATGTGTGGGTGGGCGGGCTGTGCGCACAGGTAGGCATGCTTGGGGGGAATGTGTGCGAGGGGCCGGGAGATCTGTCTCTGTGGCCAGGTCTTGCGAAGGCCATGGATCAGCCGCGGATCGACGGTTGGGGACCCCTGTGTTAGAGGACCCTCACCATCTGTGGAAGAAAAGCGTTGCATGATTAAATTTGGCATTGTGTACACAGCTATATCCTGCAGTATTTTTTGTGTTCTTTTTTCCTGGGAAATAACTAATTGTAGAGTTGCAGAGAGGGAGGCCTTGATCTTTATCCTTCTGTGTGGCCTCAGTTTGAGACAAGACTTCTGTGCCAGAGGGGAGGAACGTTCCTTGCAAGACTGGGTCTAATATGGCCACACTAGTTGCTGGACTACAATTTCCAGAATTAGAGTAGGGGGGTTTCTGAGAATTCAAGTCCATCAGCTTCTGTGGATCGATGTTTGGCAGCCCCTGCTTGAAGGCTGTAATCCTGCACATAGTTAACATGAGAGTAAATTCTTCTGAGTGCAGTGGCGGTTGCTTCCAAATGAATACAGTATATCGAAGAATGGACTTCTAAATGTTTCTGTAAGATGAGATTTGCCTTCACAGAGCCTGCCAAGGAAGTTTACCTTAAATAGGTAAGTGCAGGACATGCAAAAATGGGTTCAACTTATAGGAAGCCAGATTTCAATTGAATATCCAATGCATTCAACTTGTAGGAAGCCAGATTTCAATTAAATATCAGGAAAAACGTCCTAACTGTTAGAGCAGTGAGGCAGTGGAACCAATTACCTGGAGAAGTGGTGAGAGCTCCAGTATTAGAAGCGCTCAAGAGAAAATGGGGCAACCCTCTTTCCGATCTTGGTTTGGAATTCCTGCACTGAGCAGGGAGTTGGAGTTGATGGCCTTTGGAACCCCTTCCCACTGGAGTATTCTATGACTCGTGTAGCTAAATAACCCACATTCCATCTGCCTTCCTGTGGCCCTCTCTAGGAAAAACAGACCAAGGAGGCCTTGACCCGCAAGCAGCAGAAGTGTCGCAAGAAGAACCCGGATGAAGAGGCCAGCGAGGCTCCTGAACTCCTGAAGCGGCCTAAAGAGTACACTGTGAAGTTCACTTTTCCAGACCCACCGCCTCTCAGCCCCCCCATTCTGGGCCTGCATGGTATGGGCCGATCCTTGCCGGGAGAGGGAATTGGGTGTGGATGAGGGTCTCAAAGGCTGCTCTTGGCCTGGGAGCCACCAGCTCACTTGGACCATGGCGGGGATGGGGTGTGTGTGTGTGTGAGAACTCTGTGTGTGCTGCCATTGAAAATAGGTCAGACAAGGGCTCTTCATGTTGTAGCTGAACTGTTTCATCACCACTTTTGTTTTAGCCTGTGTAATTCTTGCCTCTTCTGCCTAATCTAATTTTAAGGAGCCCATTGGTTATAGAGTGTGGGCAGGCAGCATGTCATGTGTAGTTTGCTGGTGGGTGCAGATTAGCTACCCCTGGTGTTGTGAGCGAACTGTTGCCTCCACTCCACTCCAGAGGCTTCAGCCAGCAGCTCCAACTCGGAACAAGGTTTAGCACTTGGGACACATGGATCCACGTGCAGGTTGTTTCTTCTTTGTGACCTCTGTGAATGCACACTAATGGGTTTAGTCTGCGCATGCGCAGAGGCCTCGGAATATTCTGGAGCTACTGATCCACATGGAGGTTGTTTCTCTCTCTCTCTCTCTCTCACACACACACACACACACACACTTATTTATTCATTCTCTCTCTCTTTGACAGACTCATCCCCAGGCACCTCTTGTACCACCTATACACATACATTGTTCTCTCTCCCTCTCATACACATAGGTCAATCTGTCTGTTAACACTCACACATTTTGCCTTTCTTTCCGATTTACAGACACTCCATACATGCATGCTGTACACACACACCGATGTTCTCTTAGTACCTGTCTCACACCTTCCTGATAGAGCCAGGGAGCCTCTATTCCTAATGACTGTGCAGCAACTTTGGGCAGGAACATGCCCCCCCCCACCAGAGTTCAACGTCTCCCTCTCGGTTTCTTTTTCTCTAGGGGTAGACTTCGGGTATGAAGGGCAAAAGCCTCTTTTCAGAAATCTGGATTTCGGGATTGACATGGAGTCTCGAAGTAAGTTGCTCGAAAGGAAAGACAGGGCATCCTTCTCGAAATAAATGTGTTCTGTGTTTGCATAGTGTTGATTTGCTAAAGGGGGAATCTTCCCCACGCTCCCAACTGATGAACGTTCTTCTAACAACTGGGTGTTCTGCTTAGAAATTGGCTTCCTGGCAGCCCAGAAAGGCAGGCTTCCTGAATTCTGTGTGTCAAAGGATGGTGGGGATGGAGTGTGTGTGTAAGTCAGACCATCAGGAAGCCTGGCCTGCGTGCCAGAATTTCAGTCCTAATTTTGTTTTTGTTTTTTTCTCCTTCAGTCTGTATCGTTGGCCCCAATGGTGTGGGGAAGAGTACGCTGCTCTTGCTGTTAACGGGAAAGCTCACCCCAGTAAGTGGCCAACTTGGTTTTCTTGATGGTTCTAATCATCCTGCTCTGGTCCTGAGGCATGCCTCAATTTCTCTTTGTTTGTTTCTGCCACCAGTGTGGAGGGAGTGTAACATTTCTAAGTGTTTTTCCAAATGGGCCTCAGAGTTTTAGGCCTTTTTCATGTGATGGGTGTGGAAGAGAAATTTTGTTTTAAACTGTGGACGTTGTTGGAACTCTCCCAAAAGCATGATTTAAAATTATATTTAAACATTAAGAAAAGCAGAAAGAAAATTAGAAATTTAAATTTAAAGCATATAAAAAGTATACAAATTACATTAAAAATGTAGTAATATTTTATCAATTGCATTTGATTACATTTACAATTTTGACAAAGATACCCAGGGCAGAACTCTGGAGACCAGCGTTCAAATTTCCACTCAGCCATGGAAACCCTCTGGGGAAGTGGAACTGGTAAAAACACTCTTTATAATATCTCACTGACCTTGAAAGCCCTATTAGGGTCATAGTAAGTCAGTTCCAACTTAACAACACATAACAACAACACTTTAATAGTATTTTTAAATTATTATTTAAAATATTTTTACTGAATCTTTAGCATAATAGAATTCCAGAGAGGCTTATATGTGATCAGTTTAGAAACAAAGGAGAATAAACGCCCTTTGACCACAAAAGAAAAAAGAGGTGGGGAGGGAAGAGGTATCAAAGCAAACTCAGGTGCCAACTCTTTAATAACAGCTCTTACCATGACCAGCTTGAATGGAAAAGGAGTTGAGGGAGAGGAAAAGGCAGGTGGAGTTCCTCCCCTAGCAGAGCTGCATTTCAGTATCCAACTAGAACTGAAAGTTAAATAGAAGAAAGTTTGGTCATACGGTCCCTGCGCCTTTTCATATTCCATAGGCTGGTGAAGATTTCCAGCTTCACAGTCTGAAGCTCTCTTTAGGGGAGTAGGAATTGGTGGCTTAGATCAGGCCAAATCTGAACAGTTTCCCTTGTTCTTTCACTGCCGCCGAGTTCTTTCCCCCTCTTTCTGTCCAAATGACTGGCTGTATTTTGGTATTTTGCCCTTAAATTCTCTCAAATGCTGGATCTATTTCTAGTAGCACTTCAACTCTAACCTGTTAAAATCAGGAAGAAGATCATTAGACTGTAGAAGTCATTCCTAACTTCTTTTATTTTATTTTTCTTGCGTTTCCAGACAAGAGGAGAAATGAGGAAAAACCACAGGCTAGTAAGTATTCAAGCTATATCTTGAATTATTTGGGGTAGAAAGGAGACAGCATGGAAGTATTCAGATCCTGTTAGGATCTGGTTTCTTCCAAAGCAGTAAAAGTAACTGCTTTAGAATCACACTAGCTTGCCTGTATCTTGGCAAGTGAGTACGATGGAGAAAGCTTTTGGCTCCGATGTCGGAGTCCACCCTTGGCATCAAGTGTACTGGGTGGGATACTTGTGTTTCTGTCCTTCACCTTGGCCTACATTTCACGGCCATTTCTGTGATCTGCTAAGAAGTCTTTTTAGACAGCTCCCCAAATACCTCAGCAAGCACAGCTGATGAAATTTTGGTGGAGTTGTAATCCACAATCATTTTCCCATCCTTTTTTTAGCTTGCCGAGTCACCAAAGCTCTCTGGGTAGTGGGCATTATGTTAAAAATAGGAGGTGAACCCATACATACGAATAGCAGCAAAGGCAGCCTGGGAAAGAAATGCCACCAGCAAAAAAGAAGAGTGCCAAAGTCTGAAATTGTTGCTTCAAGAGAAATTTTAAAAATCTAGTCCAATCAGATCTCCACGTGACACCAGGAAGACCCCACGTGCCAGGAGGGCCTCAGAAATTGAACAGAGAGTTGCCCCTGCTGAAAAGCGGAGGAACGTGTCTCTTTGGCATGGCATAACCCGTTCTAGAGGGAGAGGTTTAGTGCCTACATGGTGCATATTGGCTGCCCGCGTTCACTCATCAGATGAAATTAAGGGCCAGTTATAGCCTTTGGTCCTGTTGGTTGTAGGATGGTGCCCGTGGCCTGTTTTTTTTAAGAAGGAAGATTTCCGTGTATACTTTTAAGTACCTTCTCTCATCTGTTTGTAGCCCTCTTCTGTTTTGGGGAATCATTATGCAGGGTGCTTGTTTTTTCTCCCAACAATAATGGAGTGATATGATAACAAAACCTTAGTTTGATACCTTAGACAAGGCAATTTCAGGGCAACTGGAACGAATTGGACGAGACACGAGTTGAAATAATTTCATCAAGGGTTAGTCTTCATTCAAGAGTTAGCATTGCTCAGAGTTGATCCATTGAAGCCAAGAGGATCCAACATAGTCCGGATTAGTCTGTCCTGATGAACTCAGGACCTAATGGTATGCATGACAGGGTCTGGAATCAGTCCATTCTTTGGGAGACAGACTTGCAATGATCTGGGGGTTTTCCCCTTTAGCCCTCAAGGTGTTCTGGACTTCAACTCCCAGAAGCCTGAGTCCGCTTGGCCAGTGATCAGGATTTCTTGAAACTGAAGTCCAGAACACGTGGAGAGACAAAGGTGGAATGCCACTGCCCAAGATATATGGCTCTGAGCCCAGGAACCTCTGAGCGCTGTGTTAGGGATGTGATTTTAGCTTGTGACACTGGAAGTGTGTCAGATCTCTTCCTTTTTCCTCCTTTTGTCTGTTAGAAAATCGGGTTCTTCAACCAGCAGTATGCTGACCAGCTGAATATGCAGGAGACGGCGACGGAGTACCTACAGCGCAACTTCAACCTGCCTTACCAGGATGCCCGGAAATGCCTGGGGCGCTTCGGCCTGGAGAGCCATGCCCACACCATCCAGATCTGCAAGCTTTCTGGTACCAGGGGGCAGGGAAAGAGGGAGGGACCGTCGGTGGAGGTTGGGCTGAAGGGCATGGCTGGCCTCTCAGGTGTTTTGCTGACTGAGGTCGACGACGAGAGAACCTTTCCCCTTTTTCTGCTTACAGAATTCAACCAGCAACAGCTTATATCCCTTAACAAACAAAAACCGAATGTCAGAGGGGGAAAAGAGTAAAACTGATTCATTGACTCAGTTAATACACTTGAGCTTTCCTATGCAATTTTGGAAGGGGGGGGAATCCCACTCAACCAGTCTCTGTTTATCACAGCTGCCATTTTTCCTAATTGAGGGTTAACTCCGGAATGAAATCAAACAATACTTGACAATCATATGAAAGTATACATTTTCTCAGTATTGTAGTAATTCTAGGCAACACCAGCATGTCTAATTCTATAAGCTCCATTGTTTCTAATTTTCATACACACAAAATACTGTTAGGTTGTAATAATACAAAACCCTGATAACTGTGTTAAAACTGTAGGCTCAGAGGCTTAAAAATATATGAAGATTAGTCTTAAGTTTTAGGCAAATAATTAAATCAGAAAATATGTTCCAATTATGCTTTTAATTACAGACAAGAACTTGAATCATATTTGAATCCAAAAATAAAGGTGCTTATAGCCTAAAAGGGGCAAATTTAAAAACATCTGTAAAATACCAAGGTTCTTAATAATAAAAATATATTAAAGAAGATACCTTTCTATTCCTTGAAGAACACACACACAAAATTCTAAATAATGTTTTTACCGAAGTGAGTCAGCCTTGTCCAGTTTGTATATATGGAGGAAAATCCATGATGATTTTGTTGCTATCAGGTGTCTGGGGAGAATAGCATGTGTTGATGAGTTGAAATCATCTCTATGTGTGAGAGGTCTTACCTCCCAAGGTTAGTATTTCTTTCAGTAGTCCACACCTCACTTCAATTTGTAAGCTATCTCTTTTTCCAGTAGCAGGGAGATCCAGGGCTCTTGAGGTCTGAAAATAATTTTTCTGTAGGAAATTGTATTGTTCCTGGAGCACTTGTAACTCCAGAAATCTGTAACCTGAAATCTGGTAGGCTGCCACTATTACAATAATGGTATTGTGATGTCTATAGTTCTTCAGACCATAGATCAGGGTGGGGTCCCCAGATGTTCTTGGATTAGAACTCCCAAGTAGCCTTCACCACTGGCTATGCTGGCCAGGATTTCTGGGAATTGCAGTCTAAGAAGATCTGGGGACCGAAGGTTAGAAACCATTACCTTAGAGGAATAAGACTCTGTACCATTAAGCATTTGCTGTGTTAGGATACTGTTGCCCTAAAATCCAGAAATGCTAGACTATTGTGAACTCAGAAAATTATAATCACCACTTGCAAACATCCCTTCATGTTTACATATTGCAACATACACACACGTTCAGTTGTCAGGAACGTTATTATTTAGTGATCTTGCTGGGCTAGACAGCTGGCTAATTGTTTAGGAAAGACTATAGTAAATTATTATTCAAGCCTCAGTTTTTAAAAGCACTTTCATTTTCAGGGCTGCTCCTTCCTTATCCCTCCTTAATTATTGTAACACTCTATACACATAAATTTTAAACCTTGACACATTAGCCTGGTGCAGTGTGATTCAGCCCATGCAAAACAATTAGATGGAGCACTCGGTGAAAACTGTAGAATCGTTGCTGGGTACGTGAAGCCTAGCAGACGTTGCACCCAGTGACGTAAGGAGAAAAGTAGCAGCTAATAGTGAAGGACTACGCTGGTGCTTCTGACACAAAGAAAGAAAGAGGAAGGATGATGGGGCCAATTCTGGTAAAAGGGCTACAAGGGAGAAAGGGCCTGCTAGGGTTTTAGTTGGACCAAGCTTTTGGGAAGGCAGACCAAGGAGAATGACGGCCATTCTGTCCAAAGAAGCTTGAGTGTATGCAGGGTTGAGAAGCTCTGAGCTCACCACCACATACCTTTTTCTTTCTGTTCCAGCCCCCAGCATGGGAGAGGCAAGATGCTGGGCAAGAGAACAAATCTCGCTTCATATTCCGCTTGTCTCTCTTTTCTTTTCCAGGTGGACAGAAAGCTCGTGTGGTGTTTGCTGAACTGGCTTGCAGAGAGCCTGATGTCCTCATTTTGGTGGGTCCCGATATCAGTGCAAGCCAAAAACAGATTCCAGTCCAATATAGACACTGGATATTTTTCCCACCCAAGCCTCTTCATGCCACCATCTTGAACTGCTCAGCTTGAACTGGTCAAATGGGGTGGGGTATGTTTGGATAGTCTTTGAACGACCTCTCTCCTGTTGTGCTCCAAAATCAGATGGTAATCTCTTGGATGGAAGGATAAGGATTTCCCACCACAGTTATCATAGCCACTTTCATCATCCTCTATATCTGTTAAGCAGAGACCCATTTTTTTAAAAAAATCTCTTTTCATCCTGTGTCTCCATTCTGCTCAACCCATTAGAAAACAAAAACAAAAAGCAGAACCAAACAGTGATAATCCTTAAAGCAGCTTCATTTTAGCATTTTCTCTACAATTGTATCTAGCTATCATCTGATCCATGTTGGACCAGCCTTGTGGAGCTGAGCACTTTTCTTAAAGCAATCATTTGTGCCTGTATGCTAGTATTTGTATCCACAGCTATCTATCTGTGTTGCATGGTTTCCTACTACAGTGGTGCCTCGCTTGACGACGTTAATCTGTTCCAGCGAAATCGCTGTAGAGCGAAATCGTCATCAAGCGGGGGGAAAACCCATTGAAACGCATTGAAAACCAGTTCAGTGCGTTCCAGTGAGCTAAATACCTAATCATCCAGCGAAGATCCTCCGTAGGGCGGCCATTTTCTGGTGCCTGTACAGTGAAAAATCCATCCTAAAAACAGTGGGGAGCCATTTTGAGAGCCGCCAATCAGCTGTTTTAAGACCATCGTTAAGCAAAAAAAATGGTTCCCAAAGCAGGGAACCGATCATCGTTAAGTGAATTTTTCCCATTAAAATGTTTTGCGATCGCAAAAACCTCATCGTCAAGCGGATTCATCGTTTAACGAGGTAATCATTAAGCGGGGCACCACTGTATTGCAGGATGTAAGCTGGCTGCACCCTCTCCCCCTGTAGAAGTGCAGAGCGTCTAGAGAAAAGCTAGAAGTCCTTTCCCCCTTTAGGTGATGGTAAGCCCCTTTCCATCTTTCTCCCACCCTCAGGATGAACCTACTAATAATCTGGATATTGAGTCAATCGATGCCTTGGGAGATGCCATCAACGAGTATAAAGGGGGTAAGTGGAAGCCTCTTTGTAGGAGCGAGAAATCAGTTTCATTTATTTTCATCTTGGCTTTTTCCCCTTGATGCAGGAGCCTATTTTTTCTTTAGGCTGCCGTTAAGCCACCTGTAATTTCATTAGAGAGAGCAAAGTCCCTTCATGTAGCCAGAACTGCTGTCGCTCTCTGATTGTTATTACAGTGCTCTCAGCACCAGACTATTATCATTGCGGTGCATGTTGCTGCCTTGTCTTCCCACCGCCCTGCCCTGTCCCAAACATTCAGGTCCGACTCGAACTTTCTGGAGCACAACCATTGTGTTGTCTCGAAAAAGCAGTGCTACATTTGCTTTGCTTTGTTTTTATTCCTGGAATATCAAGATGTTTGGCTGTGGAAACTTGAGCTAAGACCTAGAAGATCAGCCATAGCAAAGCTGTTGAATGCCTGAAGTGAGAGTCATTATTTTGCACGTTTATATCCTATCATTCACAAGAAGAGCCTTCTGTACTAGAATGGAAGGCAGTTTAGTGTCGCCTTCTGTTCCCACGATGGCCATCTGTGTGCTTCTGAGAACCACCAGGAGGTAGACCTGATTGTGGTCTCCTCGTCATGCTTCCCAGCAAGCGGTCTTCCTCTGAGGAACTTGGCACCATACGCCCGTGCTTTGAGGGAGGGAATGCTGGGAGACACAGTCTCTAGGGGAGAGGAGCGGGGAAGGGATTTCTGGCAGCCAGACACCACTGTGGCTGACTGCTCTCTTTCTTTCCAGCTGTGATCATTGTCAGCCATGACGCCCGGCTTATCACAGAGACCAACTGCCAGCTCTGGGTGGTGGAGGACCAGACGGTCAATCAGATCGACGGCGACTTTGAAGACTACAAACGTGAAGTGCTGGAAGCCTTGGGCGAAGTCCTCGTCAATCGACCCCGGGAGTAAGGCAGGAAGAGGCGGAGCCTCTGCAGAACAGGCCCAGCCTCTTCCTGTTTTCTGAGTGGAAGCTCTTCCCCCATCTTGTGAAGAAAGGACTCCTCTTTATCTGATAACCGGGAGGGAAAGAGAGACTGACCATGCGCAAGATGCCCGTTTCCCCCCTCTACACCTACCAGCAAGAAAGTGAAAATGTTGAGGTGGTTGGTCGAGTGTGGGAATGATTGAGAAGGGCTGATTTTTCCACAAGGCAAATAATTTTTGACTGGACTTTCTCGTTTTGCATAGCTCTCCCTGCACTGGCTTCTCTTTTTGAGAATAGTTGGAGCAGAACCATGTAAACTTATTAAATTAAAATGTGAAGGACACCTTGGTGGACTGACCATCATTGTTCTGTTTTGTCTGGAGAACAAGGACCTGGTTTGTAAGGCATTGGCGGGGTCGAGTCATAAGAGGCAGAGGATACCTTAGCTGAAGGACTCTTAATTCAGGCCAAGCACAGTGAGGAAAAATGGGCCTTCCCATTACGAGTCTGCGCAGCCATACGGTGTGGTAAATGTCGGCTCCAGAGCCTGAGAAAACGACATTTTTGATAAGAGCTCTCAGGATCCTCCAACCAGCATGGGCACAGTTGCTCTCCAAAAAAAGTAACTTCTCCAAATTCTATGTGAAGCACCGTGAACGGCCCCAGCTGCTCCAGTGTGACCCCCACTAAACCCTCCTGTCCTATGAGTTCCATATGTGGAACATAAAGTGCTGTAAAAAAATGAGGTTTATTCAACTGGGATGGGGTGTAACAACATTAACAACAGGTTAAACATCAAACAGTCTTTTAAATACTGGGAGACTCGGTTCACTCCTATGTCTCTCTGGGCAGGGTCACTCGTTCTTTTAGAACATGGAAGACACCCTGGAAGTAAGCCAAACAAGGGAGTCCCACAGCAAGGTCATATGTCCTTTGGTGGTAGCTTCTGCATCCTCTGTGGTCTTCTCGCCGAGTTGGAGGGTGAAGGATGTTTGGTTGGGGATCGTGGGGTAGATGATGTCCAGCCTTCTTTCCCCCCTCATTCTAGAGCTCTCCTCCTCCTAATTCTTTTCTTCCCCAGAAGGAGGGCTTCCAGCCTAGCATACTCTTTCTGCCTCCAGATGTGGCACCCATAGCTGTATGAGCTCCCCTGTTCAAGGATCCTTCCTCTCAACCACTTCCCACTCAATTTCAATTTATTTTCATTGAATATACGGGTTTTTTCCGTGTATAAAATGACACTTTTTCCTAAAATAATTGAAGGAAAAATTGAGTGTCGTTTTATACTTGGAAGTACGGAGGGGGCAGAGGGATCAAAGCACTTTGATCCCTGCATTCCCCCTCCACATTTTGCAAAGAAAATGGAGAGGGAAAACTGCTTTTTGCAACAAAAATGTAGAGGGAAAGCAGGAATCGCTTTCCCTCTCCATTTTCTTTGCAAGACGTGGAAGGGGAAAGTTGACTTTTGCAACAAAAATGTAGAGGGAAAGCAGGAATCATTTCCCCCTCCATTTTCTTTACAAAACATGGAGGGGAAAAGCAGATCATGTACTTCCATGTATAAAACGACCCTCAATTTTTCCTTTGTTTTAGGGGAAAGGGTCGTTTTACACACGGAAAAATACACTATGTAATGTAAACGCACTCTCGGGTTACTGCTTATTTCAGTCATCCCTCACTTACCATGCCCTGTTGGCTATTGAGCAGTCTGCAACACCATTGCTCTGGGCAAAAGGTAGCACCATTCAAGTCTTAGCTTATGGTGGCTAAAATCCAGGAGTAAGTTAAGATAAAAACTATTCAAAAGGTGTGTAGTCCAAGTTTTAATTGCTCTGCAACAGTTCAAAGAAGTTATAAGCAGGGTGAGAAGAGACTGAGATCATTAAAAGATTTCCTCAAGCAGTGAAATGCAAAGAAGTTGTCCAAGGGTGGAAGCTGAAATCCAATGAAAGATGTTGTCCAAGGTTGGAAGCTGAAATCCAATGATATTTTGGGCAATTTTAGTAATTCATTGTAAAACTTTTTTTGGTGTTAAGTACAGTGGGGTCTTGACTTGCGAACGGCCTGAGGTACGAACTTTTTGAGTTACGTACTTCTCCGTCCGCAAAAATCCATTTTGACTTGCAGACGGAGAATTGAGGTACGTACCAGTTTTTAAAAAGCGGGAAAGCACCTGGAGCCGGGTGGTGGTGATGCGGCGAGAGACGGCGGCGCTGCTCCTGCTCCAGGATTGGCGCCTCGGGGCGTTCTGGCCGCCAGAATTCCAGCCCGGCCGGGGACTCCGCCTGTCCTGGGTGGGCCCTGCTGAGCCGAGCTCCGGCAGCGGCGGCAAAAGGCAGCAGCGAGGACAGCAGAGGAGCCTCCGAGCACCCTGGTGAGCCCGCACAAGAGGGCGGGAGCGAGTTCGTGGGGGTGGCACTGGCACTGGGAGGGCTCCATGCCAGGGAACTAGGCGGGCGGCGGGTGATGGGAATAGGAAGGAGAGTGAGGAGGGCCGGGATCCGGCTGGGGCTGGAAGCGGGGGCCGGGCGGGGAGGGAGTGCCACGGGGGCCGCGGGGAGCCTTGATGGCCGGGCACCGTGTGCTGCTGCTGCTCCCATATCCACCCGGCCCATTCCCCCGGAGCTCAGAGGAAATGGCTGGGCTGCCTGTTTCGCCTTCCTGGGATTACAAAATATCCCCCTCTAGTGATCGAAGGCAGAATAGCAGCTTCCCCTTACTTTCTATGGACGGTACAGAGCAGATACGGATTACAATGGTTTTCAATGCATTCCTATGGGAATGCAGATTTTGACCTGCGAAATTTTTGACCTGCGAACCGCCTTCCAATACGGATTAAGTTCGCAAGTCAAGACCCCACTGTATAAGATTGTTTTCTTTACACCATAGTGTCAGCCCTTGTACTTCTTCTCTATAAGTAGACTCATTGTTCTTATTTATAAGCCCCACCACTGTCGTATCATCTGCAAATTTAATAATTGCGTTGGTGTTATACAGTGGGGTGCAGTCATGAATAGAGTAGAGAAAGGTGCTTAACACAACCCTGGGTTGCTCTTGTATTTAGTATCAAGGTAGAAGAATGATAATATCCCATCCTTACTGACTGTGGCTTGCCTGTCAGAAAGTCCTTTACCCACAGACAGATTTTCTGTCGTGGTGACGGCTCTCCCTTCTCCTGACAGTATAGCAAGACTCTTGCTCCAGTTCCTCCTTAGCAACCATCTCCATCACCTCTACCTCCACTCTTCCTCCATCCCCACACTTATCCTCCCACCACTTCTCCCTCCTCTAGAGGTCTCCCTTTTTTCTTTAAAGTTTTATTTACAGTGGTGCCTTGCATAACGATGTTAATTGGTTCCAGAAAAAAAACCGTTATGTGAAAACATAGTTATGTGAAGCACCATTTCCCATAGGAATGCATTGAAAACCGATTAATCCGTTCCAATTGGAACGGATTATCCGGTTTTTCCTTCCCCCCCGCAGCTTGGATCTGACCCATGGCGGCTACCTCAGCCATGGCTGGACTCCCTAGAGTCCGGCCATGGCTGGAGTAGCCGCTGCGGCTCGGGTCCAAACTGCGGGGGGAGGGTGGGGGGATTGGGATGCCTTTCAGGCATCCCGGGCTTGGATCCCACCAACCGCCGGTTACCCTTTAAGCGGCGGAGACAGGCTGGGGGGTGGATCGGGAAGCTTGAAGCCTCTCCGCGCCGCCTACCCCGGCCTTCCCAGGTATCTATGAGCATGCACTGTATAATATTCTGCTATAGGAATTCTCAGATACAGTGTTTTCCTTGCCTGATCAAATTTCATATATCAATTCCAGAATGCTATTTGCTTTATGATTTTTCCTGTTTCTTAAGTAATTCTGAACAATTGTAGAATGCCTTGGTTATTCCAACCCCCCCCCAAAAAAGTCCCATTTTTATTCTATAATCTGCAATTGCATTTTTTCATGTCCCCAGTTTAGTTTCTTGGACTAAAACTCCCAGACGCCTTAACCACTAGCAGTGCCGACCAGGATTTCAGGGAGTTGTAGCCCAAGAATTATCTGGGGACCCAAGGTTGGGAAGCAAGGAAGGCTCAATCTCAATATAATGCCCTCCTTGGTCTCCTTTTATCTCTTCATTCTCTCGGCTTTGAAATTTTAATAATTCCTAAACGCACATCCCCATCTCCAAATCAGGTTTCTCTGAGCACTTTTCCTTTCTCTTCCCTTTAGGAGAGAAACAAATAGGATAAAGAGGGGGAAAGGAGAGGCATTGCTTTTGGGTTAGCTATCAGTATCAACTTGATCACTCCCAGAACAGTCCACTTTTTACAGTGTTGCTCTTGGCACAGTGCAGAGGTTGTGAAATGTTCTAGTCCCTACACTGCCTCCTGGGACCAGTGTTGCAGGTGGGACCATGTGTGTGAATGGGGCTCAAGCACAAGCTCTGATCCTTGCAGCATTTCTCCCAGCAAGAGACCCAAAGCGGCTCACAACACTAAAATACACACAATTTAAAAACACAGTAAGTTAAATATTAAACATAAATTAGGCAAGAGGAGAAGGGGACGACCGAGGATGCGATGGCTGGACAGTGTCTGCGAAGCAACCAACATGAACCTGACACAACTCCGGGAGGCAGTAGAAGACAGGAGGGCCTGGCGTGCTCTGGTCCATGGGGTCACGAAGAGTCGGAAACGACTAAACACACACACACAAGCAATATATGATTTAAAATACCATTAAAAGATTAAAACATGAAAAAGATTAAAATTATCTACTAAAATGAGGTTCAGGGACTCGGTTGTAATTGTTAAAAGCCCGCCTGAAGAGATGGGTCTTTAGCTTTTTTCAAAAGGGAAGGGGCCATCCTGATCCCCTGAGGGTGAGCGCTTGTGAAAAGAAGTGTTAGAGGAGAGTGTGCCGTCACCTGAAGGAAAAAAGGCTGCAGACATGACTGAAGGGGAACAGCGTGTGGTGGAGAGTAAAGAGGGAGAAAACGCGGGAATAAGAGTGCGAGTGCGGGAAGGCGGGAAGTTTGAAGTGAGCTTGGTGGAGGAGGGAGCGAACGTGATAGGTCAAGAGCAGGAGTTGTCAGTTTGGGAAGAAGACATAAGCGTGGTGAGTGACGTTACGAGGTAGAATTGGAGCTGTGGAAGAGAAAGAAGGAGCTGGAGAAGTTAAGAGAGTATGAGAGGGTTAAGACGCAAGAGTTGAGAGATTTCCCCCATCTGCGCATGGGAGGGCTGTTACCTGATCCTGTTCCTCCGGAGGAGGAGGAGCTCTACATACAACCGCTGGAGTGGTCTGTGGTGATTTTTCCAAAGAACCAGGGATGTGGACAAAAAGTGATCCGTCCAGATGCGAGACATAACACCCCACCTCTGGAGGGCGATTGGGCAAGGCACCCATGCTGTGGGACCATTTGTGCGTTGAAAAGTGCCTCCCTGAGGAGGCCCAATGACGTCAAGAGGTTTGGTCCTGCACCCCTCTAGTTTCAGTTGGTGAAAGGAATACTTCAGAGATGGACAGTTTCGGCTTGTTGCCAGAACTAAGCTTGTTGGAACCGTTTGTTGAGAATGTTGAACCGTTGGATGTTAATAAAGCAGATGTTGTTAGAAGATGACTCCGCTTCTTATTCCTGATCTAGAAGAAGGACCCTCACCCCCTGCCTGTGAACCCATTCACAGCGCTCCATCACCTGGGAGCTGCCACAGAAAAGGCCCTCTTCCGTGTCCCCATCAGTTGTGCTTGCGCTGGCAATGGGACAGAGAGGAGGGCCTCCTCTGCTGGTCTTAATCACCAAGAAGGCACATACATGGAGATACGTCTTTTCAAGCTGTATGGGGCTTTATAGGTAATGACCAGCATTTTGAATTGGGCCCAGAAACGGACTGGTAGCCAGGGCAGTTCTTGTAACGGGTGCATTATATTCTCCCTGTAGCTGGCCCCAGTCAGTAGTCTGGCTGCAGAGTTTTGCACCAGCTGAAGTTTCTGAACCATCTTTAGAGGCAGCCCCACATAGAGCGTATTACAGTGATCCAAATGGGATGTGACTAAGGCATGTGTCACTGTAGCCAGATCTGACATCTCAAGGAACAGGCACAGCTGGTGTACCAGGTTTAGCTGCCCAAATGCACTCCTGGCCACCACCGAGACCTGGGCATCCAAGCTTAGGGGTGTATCCAGGAGTCCACCCAAGCTGTGGACCTGCGTTTTCAGGGGGAGTGTAACCCCATCCAGCACAAGTAGTCTTCCTATTCCCTCATCTGACTTCCAACTAATCAGGAGCACCTCTGTCTTGTCTGGATTAAGTTTCAGTTTTTTTGCCCTCATCCAGCCCATTACTGATGGCAAGCACTGGTTTAGAGTCAAGAGTTTCCCTGGAATTAGGTGGAGAGAGAGTTGGACGTCATCTGCATACGGGTGACCCCAAAACTCCGGACCACCTATCCCAGCAGTTTCATGTAGATGTTAAAAAGCATGGGTGACAAAGGAGAACCCTGAGGAACGCCACAAGCCAATGACCAGGGCGTTGAGCAGGAGTCACCCAGCTTCAGTGCTTTTGAATGGCTTTCCCTTGGGGGAAACATTGTTTCACTTAGCGATGTTTCCTATGGTGATTTTCACTTAAGGACGGCAATCCGTTCCCATTGGAACGGATTAACCGGCTTTCAATGCATTCCTATGGGAAATGGTGTTTCGCTTAACGATGTTTTCCCATAGCGATGGGTTTTTTGGAACCAATTAACATCGTTAAGCAAGGCACCACTGTATCTTGAACAGCTACCCAGAGCAAGAAGTTGTCAACACTGTTCAAGGACTGAGTGCTTAAGTTTCTTTTCCTTTTTTTTCTTCTTCTGGCTCCTGTTCCACTTAACCTAAGCTCTCCCATGCTCTGATTTAAAGGTCTACAACTCAAAAGCTTGACTGCTTATGCTTTTTAATGATTCAATTAAAGCATTTATCCTTTTTTTCCTTCTCTCCCTATTGAGCTGCCCTTGATGTGCAACTGCCCACAGAGAAAAGCTGGCAGTTGCAACATTTTACAGACAGACCCCAAAACTCCTGAATTTGAGAGCATTATGTATATTCACTGTACTTTAATGAATTACAAAATATTGGGCCATAGATAGAGGCCAATATAGATGGTTTTATTCTTCATTGTGGTCTTTGTGGGTCAACACAACTGGGTCTGCACTGGCCTGAAAGCCACTTCTCAGAATACTCCAGAGCTGAACTCTCTCCGCTTCTCTCTTGGTGGGAGCCCCATTTACTGCGCTGAACTAGCACTCCCAGGTCGACTCTGCAGTTCCTTTTGATCTGCCAGAGAACTAGAATCTTGGAACATTCAGTGCTGTATCACTTCTTCGCATACAAGAAAGCCTACAAAACCCAACACCCTTTTGCTAACCCTCATTTACAAATACCCATTTCTTTTCAGCATGAACAAAGAGCCCCAACAGTGAGTGTTAAATTAGATATTTCATTGTTTTCCACCATGTTTATTACTAATGTACAAAATATACAAAACATAGGAGACAGGTTTTTCTCTCTCAGGAGAAGGGATAGCTGCACCTACTTCAAGGAGAGAGGGAGACAGGAGATGTAGTGAATAGTCTCCATCATGCGAGACAGTTTTAAAAACCCACGATCGACAGTGTACTCAGGAAAACAAAAATTACCCCCTAAATCATTAGAGTCAAGCTTGAGTTTTCATAGAAAACAGTTTGGAGGTTTTCCCCCAATGACGGGCTTAGCACCGAGAGGTATCATATCTCTGCAGTCAGTGGGGACACTGCAGGGGGCATTTTACAGAGGGGAAAATGGGACACTGTGGATCAAGACTGTGCAAGTAGAAGTCTCCCTTCGGGCAGCAGCTTTGGGGCAGGGGCGTCTGCTTTCAGACAAGAGCAGTTCCTTGATCTCAGGTGCCACAGAATGAGCCGCAGGCAGCTGCTTCACCCCACCTCACACCCATGTTTCTAAAAAGGACAGACCGGCCCATGCCATCTGTTCATCCAGGGCAAAGTAAAACAAAACAAAATCTCCAGTGCAGGCCTGGTTCCTCAAAATCTCCAACGGGAGAGTCCAGGCAGGGTAAGGAGCCAGAGCCTCTGCCCCTGGTGCCTTGGCTGGCTTCACAAGTGTATGTACAAACAAGTTCTTGTGCTTCAAGTCCATGGTGTCCTCGCTGCCCCCACCGAGAGAAGGGAGAAGTGGTTCCTTTCGGGGGGGCGGGATGTGGCAATTCATCAGTAGCAGCAGACAACGCCTCAGGAATCCTCTCCCCGCCCCCAAGCATTTCAAGAGCCTCACAGAAGCCATAAAAAGGTGGATGCAGCCCGGAGTCTGAAGCCCCAGAGTCCACGGGAGAGGAATGTGCGTCAATACCACAGAAGATGGGGAGAGGGGGCTGATACCCTAGTACTAGGGCTAGGGCAAGGGCGGCCCGTTCACGCCAGGGTGGTAGAAGGCACAGTTGTTCTCGTACCTGCAGCTGCCTTTCATCGTGAAGTGCCGACATACGGGGCGTTTTGACCGATCTGGGGGGGGGGAGAGAGAGAGAGAGAGAGATAGAGAGAGAGAGAGAGAGGGCAGTGAGTCACCCCAGCAGAAAGGTCTTAAGACTCCACACATACACAACTTTGCCTTAGTACGCAAAATAAACCCCAGCTGTAACAGATGCACCCGAGAACCTTCAAGCACCGTGAAGACCACATCCAGCCTTCAGATGGCAAAGCCCATGGTAAAGGGGCTGCAAAACTCTAGGCAGACTAGCTTTTTGTCTACTTTCCTCCAGCCCAGCCATACCTGAACATGCTTTTTGATGCCAGATAAGCATCTGGCAAGAACTGCTATTTGAAAAGCCCACTCCCCCTTCACTTCTACAGATATTTGCTTCCTCATGAAACTCCAAATGCTCAGCCAGCCTCTCCCCTATCATAAACCCTACCCCCCCTCCACATGAGGGACACAGTCATGAGTAATTCCAATATTTACCTCCGCCATGGCCGCCTCCATGCCCCCAGCCGTGGTCCCCTGGGTGACCTCTGCCGTGGTCCCCTGGGTGACCTCTGCCGTGGTCGCCAGGATGTCCCCTGCCGTGGTCCCCTGGATATCCCCGGCCGTGGTCCCCTGGATGACCGCCTGGATGTCCCCGGCCGTGGTCCCCTGGATGACCGCCTGGATGTCCCCTGCTGTGATCCCCCGGGTGACCTCCTCCTCCTCCATGACCTCCGTGGCCGCCGCCATGTCCCCCACCGTGGCCACCGCCCATGCTGTTGTTGGGAGGGCCACCCCTACCATTGGGGGGGCCACCACTCCGTCCGCTGCTGCCTCGTCCACGGAAAGGGGGCTCTCCGCCTCGGCCGCCACGTCCACGGTGGAAAGGGCCCGGGCCTGGGCCGGGACTGCCGCCTCTCATGCCTCCGTGGGGGCCGCCACGCATGCCACCATCAGGAGGGTCCCAGTAGCCATCATTACACTGAGGTGGAGGTGGGCCCATCATCCGAGGTCCACCGGGCCCACCAGGGCCTGGGAGCATATTGGGGCCACCTGGGCCTCCATGGGGTCCTGGGGAAGACCAAGGAGAAATGTAAGCAATCTGATTTTAGTCGCCACCAGAAAAGCCACCCTAGATCCTAGGTGAGCGCATCTACCCATGGGCAGAGCTGCTGTTGTTCCTACTCACCAGGCATGGGTCCTGGCCCTCCGGGAGGGAAATGCTGCATATTTTTGGGACCGGGTGGAAATCCATTAGGGACTGGCCCAGGTCCTGGCCCAAGAAGTCCATGTGGAACTGAAATGAAAGCAAGGACATGGTTAAAGCCCACCCTAAGAGAACACAACTAGGTTTCAAGCACTGCTAACTGTAACTGGCAGAAACTCATCAAGCTAACACCCGTTTCTGGTAGCTTATAATCCAAAGACTCAGCTGTGGAATGCTGGCCATTTGATGTTCTTGGACAAGTCTGGTATCCATGCAAGCCCCCGTTTCCACACCTGTCCTTCAGAGGCAACAATCCTACCTATTCACATAGGAGGCACTGTTCTGTACATTGGAGAAGGAGAACAGGGTCTAGAAACAGGGCAAGCGGAGCAGGGTGAAGGCCCTGATGCCACCCAGGTCTCTCTTACCTCCAGAAGGACTTGGTCCAGGCTGGCCCTGCAAGTTGCCCAGCAAATGCTTGATCTTGTCTGAATAATCTGGCTGCTTCATCAGCTCTTCTGCTTTATGATTGTTAGAGCCACCCTGCACAGAACAGGAAATAACAACCACCACACAGAGAGTTAAAAACAAGGCTTGTTGTCTTGTGCTGCCCCCTCCCCTCCCCCACTTTGCTATGCTCGTCCTGTAGGGCAACCCTGCTTAGAATGGCTAGCTTGGAGAGAAGGACAGTTCAAGCTTGGTGACCCATCAAGGCACCAGGCTTTGTTCTGGGTCAGAACGCAGATTTCTAAGAAAGTCTCTTGTGCATCTGCAGCACTACTGGGTGCTCTACAGAAAATGCTCCCATTCTTCATGCAGAGCAGAAGAAAATTCTGGCTCATCCACCTATCTGAAGGTGTTTTAAGTAAAGCGGGATCAACTGGCTAGCTTAAGCTGAACAGGAGGAGACTCAGGGTTCTGAACTGCATTCAAGGCAGGTGACAAGACGATACTAAGAGAGCCCATGTTCTCTCTCTTTCTAATTCACCTGCTATTTAAAGGTCTAGACTGTGGCGGCTCTAGTTACCATGATGGAGGTGAGGATCTCTTGCACGTTGAGAGAGGAGTTGGGGTTGGGGCCCTGCGGGGTCTTCCCTGCCCCCATGCTGCCCATGAGGTTGGCCAGGACCGGGGGCAGCTTGGAGCCCCCAGCTCCGTCCGGAGACTGCGAGGCGGTGGCCGGGTGGAGTCTTTCCTCGTAGGTGGCCTCATCCATGGAGCATTCCTGAGAGAGGTGACAGAGGAGACACAAGTAGTCAGGAGGGGCTGGCTGCTGGGGAGCCGGCTGCTCAAACCCAGCAGGGAGGGGGACTAGCAACAAGGAGCTGGGGTGGACTGGGAAGGGCTGGCCGCTCTACCCCCCGGGTGGGGGGGGACACCAGCTACGGCTTTTGATCCAAGGTGTTCCCCATCTCCAGCTTGCTTCTCCCTGATACTCAAGGAGAACCAAGATGCAGGGGAAAACGACACCCAGTGCAGGATTTCTAGTAGCCTTCGCTAAACAAGGCCTACCTAGAGAAGGAAAACCTAGCAGCCTAGTCTTATCAGGAACAGCCTGCTCAAAACAAGGCCTTCTCCATTCCCCAGTTTGAAAAGTGAGCCCTGATTCTCATCCCTGTTCTTATTACAACCCACTTAAGTTATTTCTTTCGGCATAAAGTACAGACTATAAGAGGGTTATGATCCACTTACCTCATCCAGAGGAATGAGCTTGGGTGGAACTGGCTCGTAGGATTCTGGGTCAGGCTCATGAGGGCTGTCAGGCACACTGGGAGAGGGAGAGAGAGAAAGAAAAAGGGGTTTGGGGGGATATTGGTCTGGATGTAATATAAGAAAAGAAAAGTCTAGTGATTAGTTTAAGCTAAAAATTATTAAGCCTGGACTTCAAAAAGCCAAGAGAACACTGGCTGGTTGGGAAATAAAAAGGTCTTGCCCTTCTCCTCCATAGAGAATAGGCATGGTTGGAACTATATGGACCCTTAAAAATGGCACAAGAAATTAAATGATTTTTTGAAAAAAGAACGGTGCAAGACCATGGGCAAAACACTCACTTCCATGTCTAGAAGACAATTCACTTACCTCTCTTTCGAGAGAAAGATTTCCTGTAAAATGCCCTTCTCGCGTTCGGCCTGGGTAAATTTCTCCTGGCTGCCACTTCCTGGCTGCACCAGCGGAGCAGGTAAGTCAATGGGTTTAGGATAGATCCAGGGGATCATCTCTTCCATGGCATCATGACTGAGCCGGCGGGCTGTCTCAAAAGCTTTGCGATCCTTCAGCATTTCTCGCTTTGCAGCCTCACCAAAGTCCTTGATTTTGTTCACGTTCACTGTGGAAATGAAATAAAAGGATGACCGATGAACCAAACATAGGAGCTGGCAGTTAACTCCTTTCACAACACGGGGCTCAGCCTCCTCACAGGCCTCCCTTCCGTTCTCCTCCCCAACAGCTGTCCTATTATGTCTGATTTAAAGAAAAATCAGTTCTGTTCTCCTTTCCTTTGGCCAAGCCCAGCCTTCCTGCCTTTCTGGAAGACAGCAGCAGAAAGGCTCTGAAATCTCTCTGAAACAATTTGTTATACTTTGATTATTGTCAACTCTTGACTATTACTGCAAATTAAAAAGAAAAAAAGAATATTCTCTTTCAAAATGGCTTACTCTCTCAGGAATCCTTCCTCATACTAACCGGCAACAAATCCTGTTGCTTAATGTAGCAAGTGGCAACCAGAATAGGCCCACTATATCAATGAAATTTGTAGTGTTCAGTCACCAAATCCGCACTGATTTAGTAGGCCTACTCTGGTTGCCATTTACCATGCCAAGTAATAGGACATCAGCCATTATGCTATCATTTGACTTGAATTATATTGAGTCTTCCCAGACCAAAAGTGGCTTACAAAATAAAACAGATTTATGTTGTCTTGTAGTATTTCTTACTGCAAAATATCACATTTAAACGTAGCTATATGTTACCACAGCAGTAGATATACCAAGTATTAGTGCACAAGGATTCTTCCTGCCAGCTTTACCCATTTCTTGGAACAATTATCCTAAGAATATAACGGATTCTATTTATGGGCTAGTGAATATCTTCTAGTGTACTCCTTCCTACTGTATGTATTCTCCTTAGAAAATAAGCCTACCTCGCTCAGTCTCGTCCAGTTCAAAGTAGAAATATTCTCGCAGTTTGCTGTCCTCCGGCCAGCGGACAGACTTCTTCTTCTTGCCCTTCTTGGTCAACTGTGTGGAATCCACTGGGCTCTCAGCCGGCTTGGGTTCCAGCAGCCCACCCTGTTCAGAAGAGCCTGCACAAGCAAAGGGAACCACGCTCAGTAAAATGCCTTAGAGGAATGACCTGCTTTTCTGACCCCAATGAATCCCACAAGGAGACGCTTCTCCATTTCAGAGCATGTCGAGCTGCCCTGTCATTCCTCATGTCAAGAATACAAAATGTGGGTAAGGTAGCCTGAAACATCAGATGGTTTGCTGCGAGGGGAGGTGGCAGAAGAGATGTGATGGGCAACTAACTCCACCCAAACCTCCTGTTGCAGCATACAGGGTTGTTATTGTTCCCTTGTCACTTACTTGTCTCCATCGGCTCAGGCACCTCCACTGCTGGGACAGGGGTCCCAGGTCTATCCACATCCATTGGTTCTGAGGTTGTGGTAAGCTCTGGGGAAGACGGCTTGGCAGCGCTGGTTTCTGGGGCTGGCTTTCCTTCAAATGGACTTGGCTGAGATCACAAAATACATACCAGATCATTATTCAGGTCATTCCTTAATACAGGATCCCTACTGTTATGATCTACTTCCCCAGTGCAAATACCCAACTTGTGGCTCAATAAATATCCAGTTCTCTCACCTTTGCTGCAGTTGGAGAGAGCACTTTCTTTTTCTTTTTGATCTTGATTCCTGGGACAGGAGCTGAATTTAGGGCATCCAAGAATCCCAAGCCTTCCATAGCTGTGCAGGGAAGATTGGCAAAATGAATTGGAATTCAGACATGGGCACGAACACTGGAGTTCTAGTTGCCATTGCTCCCACCATTCCATGTTACTCTATACCCCATCTTCCAGCTCTACAAGACCTCCCAAGAAGATCAGGCAGAAAGCCATGTGAAAATACACTGAACAAAACTTACGTTGTGCAGGAATTATCTTCACTTTAATTTCTTTGGTAGCATTGGGGGTGGTGTTAAGAGGCTTGTATTTCTTCTCGGCTGGCGGGTTCTCCCCAACTGGGGCTGACGAACTGGGACAAAGGAACAGACACTTGGTGAAAATGGGAAGGGGCGCCAGGGAAGCCACAGGAATGCCCATCCCTCCCAGGAGAGACTGATCTCCCTTTCAAAATGTGAAGCCCTTTTCACGACACAAACATAAACACTGAAGAAAAACCATCCATGCAAAGCAAGCCATTTTTGTATGGCTTTATCTCAGCACTCCTAACGTCCGTAGTCCAAAATATGAATATGCAAGTGTAGTAATCTCTCCCTTGCAAATTAGCACTCGCCAAAGTTCTAGCTTCACACTTCTGGCAAAATGGGGGATGGGAAGTAAAGAAGGAGGCCTCTTGGAAACCGCTCCCCCATAAAATAAAATGAGGTGCCAACCAATAAGAGGCTCAAGACCATCCCAGTTCTCTTCCCAGATAACACTTTATTTCCTGCATCTGAGGATAAATTAACAAAGGATGAAAGCTGCTCAGACCATCTTTAAAACACAAAAACTTACTTCTGTCGCTTCAGTGGTATTGGCTTCAGGTTGTATTTGTCAGAGTTGGTTGCAGCATTGCTGTTCTTCTTTACTGGGAGAAGCGATGGAGTCTCCATTTCCAAACCTGCAAATTAGCATCAACGGTTAACAGTCAGAATGTTTTGTATTGTCGAGAATCTCAGAATCCAAGACCTGCACAGCACAGCTGCTTCCACGGCAGAAACACTGAAAACAAGGGCCGTGACTTCTGCATTTACCCCTAATGATAAGCCAGGATTTCTCACTTAATATGTGAAGAACAAAGCTTCACTTTGCATTGTAAGACTGGTCAATTATCAGTGTGTCTCTCTCCTGCCTTACATTCCAGACAAGTCTTTCCCAGCTTGGCAGGGAGGGGAAAATCATACAGCACAACAAGAAGACAACAAAGAAAGAAGGCAATTCTGTTGCTTGGCTATCTTTAGCTGAAGTAGTTTCAGCTACTTTGCACAGAATGGCCTTTTAATCTTCTTCACTTCTGCCGCTACATACTTTCACTTGTAATTATTACAGAGCCAGCTTCTGACTACTTTGAGGACAACAAACCATAATTCACATTCAAAAGCAACGCTAAGCAAAGTGTTTCTACATGGACTAGACACATCTGCATATAACTCATTCTGGAAAGGCCAAGATAGGTCCAAATCCTGCCTAACCGTTATAGACAATCACAGCCATTGCTGTGCCCGGCAACAACGCTTACATGCACAGTTGCTTACCAGTAGAACGGAACTTGGCATGGCTAGGTGCTGTAGTACGGAGAGATTTTGGCTTTTCTTTTTTCTTCTCTGGTGTCTCCTCTGGTTTCACTTCGGATTTGGCTTCCTGAGGCTTCTCTTGAGCAGGCGTCTTACTTTTATTTTCCTCTTTGCGTTTTTTCTTATCTCGCTCTAGGAAAAAAAAAGACGAAGATGAGAGAAGCTCAGAGGGTTTAAGATCTATTTCCAGGACAGAGAAGAAAGTGAAATTACTTCTACATATAAATATCCAGCCACAATTCAGCCTAACAAAACCAAATGATCCTATCAAACTTGAAATCCTTCAAAGAACATAAACAATACACTGAAAAGGAGATAGTCACTTGCTATACAAGATGGCTATAACCAGTGTGTTTATTTTTTAAAAAAAAACATTACTGAAACATATGATACTTCAATCTGATGGACTGGAATGACTAGAGTTTTTTTTAAAATGACATTTGCTGTAATTTGGCAGCCAGCATGGCAAAAATGACAAACACCAAGCACGTGATACACCTATATATTCCCCTATGAGGCCAGTATTAGCTAGATTTGGCTACAACTCTTATGCGACGAAAGTGTCTTTGACAAAACATGAAGCCAATTACCTGCCGGTTGGGAGCTACTCTGGGAGCGGATGACACCCATCCAATCGCTGACCAGTACAGACGCCAATCTGCGAAGCTCTAGAAAGGAAGAAAATATATACAACTGATTTGGAATATTCTCATTTCCAAAACACTACGTACATGTATCCCTGTTGCTTTGCCTATAAAAATTCTACTAATGTCAAAAGATCAAGTTATTACCTTCATCTTCGCTTGACTTGCTGAGCTGTTTCACCAACTTGGCCGTGTTGTTCTGAAAGAAAGACATTGTCGACTGTGAAATGGAGAACAGACGCCTGAACAACAGCAGTAATGCTGCACCCAGGGATTTGGGCAAAATAAGTGGTCCCGAAAAGAATTCCCATTTTACTGACCCACCGGCCTTGCAGCAAACCAGCTCTCCCACCCACTTTCGCAACTGGCAAGTAGAAAGGACAGCATCCAGGGCTACCCAATGGACTAACTTGTTTGAGATGATCTACTGTAAGAGGCAGGTGTTGTAGCGTGAGCAAAATCTGCTGGAGAAGCGGCACATTATTGGATGCTTTTGAGCTGGTTAACCATGTGTTAAGAAGCTTGTAGCCACCAACCTTGATGAATCTGCAAAAGAAGAAGATGCATACAATTACTGAAATCAAGTCAGCTGTGGGTTTCTTCTTCTTCTTCTTGATCTGGAATATGTCCAATTTAAAGTATCTTGCACCCATGTTGGTACAGAAAAACAGAACATAAATTGGAAGATCCCAAATTAGATTATGCTACATATATCTAGAACATTTCCAGTGATCAGGCCATCTTCAGTGTCAGGTCCCATTCCTTAGCTTTCACATCTGGTCCCTACTCCATCCCTAACCTATACTGGCATCTCAGAGTCCCATAACTCTCCTGAGACATTAACAAGTTCCCAATAATCTCAGTAATATGACTAGAAACAGAGCAAGTTGGACAGCACAAAAGGGCTAGACTTCCCCACCTCCTGTTTCTTATGGAATTTCTTCAGTCTTTAAAATGCTCAATTTCATTCCCTAAAAACACAATAAACAGTTCTTACTTTGAGAGTATGTCTTGTGCTCGGGTCTGCAGCAATATGTTCAGATATACGCAGCGACTAACCATCTTCTGTGCCTCTTTCATTAAGCTAATGGGGAGGGGGAAGGGAAAAGACAAGAATATTTTTAAAACTATTATTTCATAGCAAAGGGCTCCCAAGAGAACACAGGTAGCTGCCAATTAACACATGCATGAGAGATGGGGGTGAAGCATGGAACACGCAAAATGAACAAGCTTCTGTCTCAAACTGCTGTTGAGAACCAGCAGTTCAACTTCTGTTAGGCTTCAGCTGACCCACTAAGGTGATCTGGCTTCTAAAATTCAACTTACAAAATAACAGCCAGTGTGCAGTTGGGAGTCGATTCAGAACAATATTTTGACTGAACTTTTAGGTGTTTGTTTGCTAGGTAAAAGTAATACAGTGGTGCCCCGCATAGCGACGTTAATCCATTCCAGGATTAACGTCACTATCCGGAAACATCACTATACAGAATGTAAAACCCCGTAGGAATGCATTAAACTCCGTTTAATGTGTTCCTATGGGGCGAAAACTCACCGGTAAGCAGATTCCCCATCCGGCCGCCATTTTCGCCATATCGGTAAGCGAGGGCTGGGCGCGAAAACACTGCGGGCGGCCATTTTATTCTTCCGGTGGCCATTCTGGAACCACCAATCAGCTGTTTTTAAAACATCGCAATGCGAAGATGAGTAAGCGAAACGCTTACCGATCATCGCGATGCGATTTTCACCCATTGGAATCATTGCAAAAAACGCATTGCTATGCGGATTCGTTGTTAAACAGTGTGCTCATTAAGCGAGTCACCACTGTACAGGGAAGTCTCTATATGATGCACTGTTTACATTGATTAAATATTAGATGTAAAATAAGAAAATATTTTACGCAATCCGGTCTTGCAGTAAATCCATGTTGGTTCCCCATTCTCCCAACACCCAGGTGCCACAGCAAACCGATAGTCAGGGAATCTGGGAGTTGTTATACATCTGAGGTCTTAAATTCAGAAACTAGTAATGGTTCCCTTAAGGGCCGTTTCCCCAAAGGGTAAAGTGCCTTGAAAGAACCAGTAACACAGGTCCTAGTGACCTTTAACTCCAGAATATTCCGAGGCCTCTGCGCATGTGCAGACTTAACCCATTAGTGTGCATTTACAAAGGCCACAAAGAACCAAATTTTTACTATTCCAATGCTTTTCAGCCACAAGCATTTCTGCTGTGTTCTTGCATGAAACACATACTTGAAAATTTTAGTGATGCCTTCATGGCTTTTGACTTCTCCATCTTTGCCAAGGAAACAGTCCAGTCCTTTCAGAAGCTCTTTTGGATCTATTGGCCTGGAGCCCATGGTGGAAAAGCCTGTTAAAAAGCAGGGGAAGGTGGTGGTCACTAAATTACAAACTCTCCAAAATTATCAAAGATCTCCTGTTCTAGATGTGGTGAGTACTTGTTTGAGAATACAGTCCTTTACAAGTGCAAAATGTGATCATACACCCTTCAGAATCAGAAACTCTACAATTGTTAATATACTTAAAAAACAAGATCACAACTTTTATTAGTTTGTTACTTCTGCAAAAGCATTAACTTCAGACACAGACGAGTGCTGTAATCGTACACATTGGAAGACAGAATTGTTAAGGGGGGGGAGTGCGAAACTGTCAAAAAATTGAACAGAAGAGCAGAGATGAATACAATTCTAGCATTTTGAATCGGATGGACTCATACTGGTGTTTTTCCAGCCCTGTTGCTTTTCAAGTATCTGTTCAGCTTGTACTCTTTACAACACTACCCCATGCAAGTTTACTCAAGATGTCAGCTCCGCTGAGCACAGTGGAGGTGATTCCTAGTCAGGTTTGAACATCAGTCTTTAAAACCCTTTCCCATCAAGGTTCAGTTACAAGTACTGAAGAGTGCCAAATTCTGCAGCATACCTACTAAGCTGGCAGAGTGCAGCAGACCACACTACAATACTGTATTAAAGTCAAATCCAGTTTTTCCTGGGGGCAATACTTCAACAACACTGAAGAACTCAAGGCAGTTTTACAGAAATGCAGCATAGAAAAACCGCATATGTGAACATATGTTTCACACAGGCACTAAAATTTGACAACTTAATTCTCTGATGCAATCGTCTCATCAGATTATCAAACAAGGCATTGTGGCCCTGCCAGCTCACCTCCTGTTGCCATGTAGGAGGTATTGCTGCCAAGAACTTATTTTAACATTGAGCGCCACTGTGAGTTCTCTTAATTGGAAGTGGCCTATAAATGATGCAAAATCAACAAAGGTACAGCCACCTGTTCTGCTGCTGCTGCTATCCTTCCCTTGATTATAATTTTCAATTGAAAGCACCTTGCTTAATCTTCCAGGACCCACTTTCATCAGATGGATGCCTCAAGCATGTACGTCCATGGCTGAAACACCATGGTACAAAACCCACTGGACTCCCAACTTCCAGAGGTCTGCTGGACAGTGGTTGCGATCATGCTTTTTCTTTAAAGGACTCACAATATTTGGGTTAGTTATAAACAGACCAACTAATTATCCACAACCTCTATATGCACTGTTTCATAGGACAAATATCCAGTTGTAGATTATCTAGCTTTGATTTGCCACAACTTGACTGTGGCTGGGCATGCTAGTTATAACTATTTGTAGACAACCCCATATTCACAGACCCTATTGGCTAATTTCAGCACTGATCCTTTCACCATTTATTTATTCTGCTTCTACAATTTCACAAGGTTTACTGTACAGTTGTTGCAGCTTAATCACTGCTGTCTTTGAAGGAATAGGAATGTATCATTTGATGAGATACATATATATTCCACTGCAATTAACACTATCCACCTGCTCCACTGCAAGCTTGCCACATACTATATACATTACCCAGCAGCTGGTTCAGTGTCAGGCAGCACCTGTGGCCCCTGTAATTAAAACAAGGGCAACAGTCTTTCTCCTCCTCACAATTAACTGCTTGAACAGCATACACATGCCCTTATGCAGCTTGCTACAGCTCCATCACACCCTTTGTTAGGTTGCAAATGAATGCCTATGTATCTTTGACCTGCATTATTCTTGTTTCCAACAGCTGTCTGTAGGCTTCATGATACAGTATTGGTTGTCCTTCTTGTGTTCTCTTCTCAGAAACACACCCAGTCTCAGTGTGGGAATTGTACTTTATGTTATTATTCTTTAGTCTGGAATCACTTTTCACATGATCTCCCTGGTGCTACTGGATTAAGATGACACCATTCATTGCTAGGTTTTCACTCATGTAAAGGACCACCATTACCTCTGTATGTACTTCCCAAGTGCCCATTTCCTTAAGGTAACTGTCTTGGAACCCTGATGCAACAAGAACTACCCATTGAAGTTAAATATGCACCGATTTTGGAACATCCCCTTGTGGTTATGGTTTTGGATTCAAGTAAGTGGATATTGCAGATGTGGCTACATGGAAGAGCGGTATTTGTGTTGCCTTGCAAGGAGCGATACTGAGCTGGAAACACTAACACACCTCTTGCCCCACCTGTCAATCCCATGTGCTGCGTGACTTTGAACACCAGGGATTCTAGGTACACATGTTATCAGTGGTGTAGAATTCAACCACTTGGTTGCTGTCTATGGCAGCAATTACCTCACACCAATCATGTTTTCAGTTCTTTTGCTATAGTAAATTGGGACTCCTGAATGGGAACTCATTCTTCTGTTATAGCAACCATTTCCTTTGAAACAGCAAGGGCTGAATCCAGGTGCACAACTGCATCTTTTATAAATTCTTGAGCTCATTATTTTAGAAAGCAAACGAGTCCATTGCTGGGGGAAATCAACGTAGTATTATGCATTCAGATGCATGGAACTAATTAATATCCAGGAACAATTGGGAGCCACATGGGAATTGGGAATGGTATTACCAGCTTGCAGTTGCTTGAAGAGATCTGTGCATGGCTTCTGTCCAGTTGTGAAGCATTTGTGCTGGAGATCCATGTTAATGAATTCACCCTGTGGTGGAAAGGCCAAATGACCAAGTGGGCTTTGGAGACTGAAACTCCCCTTTCACCCCACAATATGGCCTTTTCCACTTTCAATGCAGTATTACACTGGTGAGGAAGACTTGATGATGCTTTGGCTTAGCCTGTTTTGGTGGTGAAGAGAGGACTTCAGTCTCCAGAGCTGTCAATCTGGCATTTTCCAGCACTATATTCCCAAGAGAGAGTTAAAAAAAAATACAAGTATTAACTTTTGTGCAATCTGTTTATCTCAGCACCCCTCCTTCTCAATACATTGTGTTTGTTCCACTCAGAGGACCCTCCCTCTATCCAAGAAAATATAGTGTATTTAATTTATACAGCCCTCAAAAAAGGTTGATCTGTGGAAATCAGCTTCATTTCTAAGTAAAATAATGTTCAGACCAGTCTCAGAGAGATTTAACCTGATCTATTCACATATTCTGTATCTAGAAGTTTAGATTCTGAAATAATTATCAAGGCAGTTTTCAGATCCATACTCTCTACTTCCATTTACTGACATAGCAACTGGATATAAAATTGCAACTCCAAAATAACGCAGAGTAAAACCAGGTCACTTTTAATGCATCCGGTATCTTGTGACCCTAGAATTGTTTACATAAATTATCTGCTTTCATCCTCTATGGCTAGCTTTCAGACTACAATTTTAATATATGGAACACATGTAAGAGTTCTTGATTTGCATGAAATTAAACATATTAGTAAGATACCTGCATTACACTTTGGCAAAACTGCACATTAGGATCAAAGTCTTTAAAAAGCAACATAAACAGCCTTAAGTCTGATATAATATGGCAATCAATGTAAGTTTGGATAAGGCTAATAGGATTCTGAATATAACTGTTTTTAAGATGATCAAGTTCTATAGAACTTGTATAAGCTAAATCACATATTGTAACAAGTTTCCTCAAGCCACTAGTTACACCTGCCAAAGTAGAATCTCTAAATTTATCATGTATCTATAGGCTTTGAAAATTCACAGTATTCCACACTTGGCTTTTTACCAGTTTACAAAGAATATTAATAAGAATTTAGGGCCCCCATAAAGATTTTAATTTAAGGGCCTATGAGGTAACATCAACTTATTTTTTATAAATATTTTGATGCAGTTTTTGGCTCTAATCAATCCCAAAATATTTGGTTATGATCTTCACTTTCTTACATTTGCATAAAGCTGCCATATCTGGCTTGCAAATACTGCACAATTAGTTGTCATAAAGGTTTTACCCTCAAAACACTACTGATAGCCAAGTCTCTGAAAAAAGAAATTTAGGCAGATTGGAAGGTTTTTAATAAGGCTTTTAAAAATCACTCTCACCTCCATCCCAATAGTGTCTTGGAGGAATTATTGTACATCTAACTTGCTAAATTCAAGGCTCTTTTTATGAGAAAAGACTGTGGCAAGAATTTAGTTTCACCACAAGGAACAGGTGAAATCTTAAAGATTTCAAATTCAGTTTTAACTTACAGTCAAGAACAACTTCTACATACACAGTTCTAGCATTTTTCCAGTGTAGCAAATAAAAAGATGAGCAACCAGATAAAACAGATACAATGAAGCTAAGATAAAGTGTATTCTCAAAGACTTTCATGGCTGGGATCTGATGGTTGTTGTACGTTTTTTTGGGCAGTTTGGCCATGTTCTGGAGGTTTTTCTTCCTAAAGTTTCACCTGTCTCTGTGGCCGGCATCTTCAGAGGACAGAAACACTAATTCCTGTCCTATATGCCGGCCACAGAGACTGGCGAAGAAAAACCTCCAGAACATGGCCAAACAGCCCGAAAAACCTACAACTATGAAGAGACTTTCTTACCATCTTTTTCAATCTATGTTAATTCCTGCCATTTACAGATTTCCTACTATGAGTATTCAGGATTTAAGTTTTTAGTTAAAAACAAAACAAAACAATTACTGATCCCAGATGGAGACTAAGAATTTTAAACACAAAAAAGGTTAATAGGCTACTTGGCAACATTTTAGATTTCTAACATTTTCGATTTCTTAAAGTTCAATCTATTAAATGTGCCCAGAAATGAGTCATGCTGTAAAAATAAAGCTATGAAAATGGCATTGTATGCATAATTTTTAACTATATTATCTCAGTCCCCCTCAACCATACTGTAGTGTTACACTACAATTTCCATCACACACAGTCAAGCTCATACTGTTCAATCTAAAACTGTAACTGTTTTTCTTCACAAACTCAAATCCTATACCTTCTCTGTATTTCCATAATACTATAATTCTCTTTGCTCAAAAGTACCAATTCTGACTAAATTCAACTTGAAACAACAGTTCCTGACTCATTTTAGCTGCCTCAGATTCCTTTCTCTACCAACAATGTCAAGATGAACTTCAAATACTGTACACCCTTCCAGTACGGCTACATCTCATATGGTAAGTATACTTGTTATACTTTAGTTTATGACAGTATGTACAGAATAGGCTATATAATACATATCTTATGACCAGAGAATGTGGTGCACCCCTAACAAAAATTTTGGGGGTCTTCCTGCTTGGTTCTATGAGCCCTCCTGGCTCCACAATGCCACTGTAAACACAGTCATTCAAGAAATTTATAAAAATGAGAACTTGCCAGAAAAATACAAGGCAAGACTGGCATTGGCATAGCTAACTACAGATATAAATCTATGTCTTGTATAGAAACCTACTTTTCCTATTTTAACTGACACAACTACTACACGCAAGGAATCTAGCACAAAATATACTTGTTCATAAAGAACACTCTATTCCAAATAGATTATTTTCCAGTCAGTCAACAAAAAACTTAACATTCAATCTACTTATTAAGTCCCTGAGATTCACCAGTTGGAATCCCATGGAAAACTTGAGGATCAAGCATACATGAATAATAAGGTACAGTACCACAGAGCAAACACCAAGTCCTAGAATGTTTAACTGTTATCAGAATTAACCCTAAATCACACACACCCTCACACAAATAAACAGCACTACTGACTTCTATCTCAACTGTTCTTTCACGAAATCCGTTTTTCAAATATTACTGTGGGAACAACTGGGAGTTACAAAGCCTTGATCTACAGCAAATCTTTCAGAGGTCTGCCAATACATTCTGATTTATCTTCTTTTCAATGTCTCCTATAGATCAATTTTTAAAAAGCAGAACCGCAATTTAAGCCATACTACTTCTAACTCTGTAGTCTTGTCTTAGAACAGAGTATGTTCACACCAAATTCTAAATACTTCTGTGCTCTTAAAACTATTTTCTTTTTTTACCTCTGTTCCATGACTATTTAAGATAGAAGCAGCTATATGGCAATCATTAAGCCTTAGCGTTAATCAAAATCAGTAATTTTCTGGTGTTCAGAAATGCAGAATTAACAAATGCATGCTGCTGGAACAGATTTAGAGCTGCAAGAAATTCATTTACATAATTAAACATACAAGCCATTTTCATTTAAGTCTCTAAACAGGACAAGGGCAACTTCACAAGGACTGCTAACTCCACAGAAGTGCCAGCCAACTGTACAGAAACACAGAAGTTCAAGAGAAAAAAAAAAAGGGGGGGGGGAAGAAGCAAAATATTGTAGCTCTCTGAAAATTAAATTTTATTCCAGTGCGAGCTTCCGTGAATCAAAAAACAGAAAAACTGTGTACACTATGCCCTCTGTATTTTCATTATCTCCATGACCAGATGAGGATACAGACAATAAAATGAAGTGTATTCTCTCTTGATTACGGGGGATAAAAATATGTTTGCACTCTTTCATCGTTGATTCTTGAAAGCACACACTGAAACAAATTCTTTAAAGTGCTACAATATTTTGACTTTTCCCTTTTGCCAACATGCTGGAGACACACTAAGGCAGCTACTTCTTTGGAAACTGGAAGTTCAATGAATTCCAACCTGCAATCATTATTATATACTGCTGATGGCAAGAACAGCAACTTTTAATTGGGCACTTGTGAGTTAACGCTGTAAGGTAGGTAATGTACACCATAATCATCACCTTGCCATAAAATGCTAAAAATAATTAAACTTTGATCCTGTTTTAAAGCAGAAGTTTGGGTCGGGAGGCTTGTGATGCAAGGAACTTCCAACGGACACTCCCATCAGAACACTTGTATGTTATCAAATTGCAGCCTGGACTGTTTTAGATACAAGTTGGTCAACTGTACCTGCTTGATCTCATTACAATGCCTTCCTTACTATGCAATGAGTACTTTAGATCTGTTTACATCATTTGGACTTGCTAGGTCAGAAGTAACATACAGGCTTTATCAGTCTCAGGGATGGCTGAGGAACTGAGACAAACAGAAAGAAGATACACAATGATACTGAAACCACAAGCTAAGCACATCTATTGAACTATTATTAATATCTCCCTCAAGTGCTCCAATTCATCTGAAAGTGAATTCTCCAGAATTGGGCTCCATGGAGAGAGTCATTTGGTACTTACAGTTCAGAGAATGGAATCAGATTTTTAATCCAATTAAGTCAGACATCTTCACGTCCTACGATTCTATTAATATACATTAGCAATCCTTAAAATGTGCCTCCAAGGAAATTACTAGGGAATGTGTTACCCCCCAGCAATACATTTCATCCCATTCATTCTTGTGATCTGCTGGAGGCCTTCAGGTAGTTGTTCCATTCTGGCAAGCATGGAAAACTGAATTGTAGCAGGTAACAATTTAGACTGAGATCAGCATTTCAGGAACAAGTCTGGCGATTTTCAGATCTTTTAAACCATAATGCAAAGATTTACTAACAAACTTTTCCCCTGGACTCTCTAGTTAGTGTTTTTAAGTACTGGAGATCACAAAAAAACAAATTCACATCTCTTATGCTAATTTCAATTTACATGTCTTTTTAAAGTTTTTTAAAAATCTTTCTTTAAATACAATTTTTTTCATCACAGTACCAAAGTTCAAGAGCAGATACTAAGCTATAAACCTGGAAATAAACACCACTTAAATAAAAAAAACATTTGTTTTCAAAGCTGATCTTGTCAGAAGCAAAGCTGTGACTGGCTGTAGAAACTGCATCCTGGAATCCAGACGGATTTATGCCAGTATGCTGTCTCAAACCCCACTTCCTGAACTAAACTAGGTAAATTACCAGAGGTTCTTTTGTGGCTATAGTTAAGGGGGAAAAACTAGCATAATCAGTCTGGGCCGAGAGAAAGTGTTTCTATATCATGTCTGCTACCTTGGCCAGTCCATAGTAAGTTACTGCTCAGCCGAGGATTCGATTCTTAAAATGGTGTCCAGCTCAGGTTTCCTGTTTCTGTCAGACGTTAGTCACACTTACATGTAAATTCAGGCAAATAAATTTTTTTCCTAAGTATGTTCAGGAATGCAGGATCTACTCTTTTGTCAGTAAAGACTAAGGGCTGATTATATTGTTGGAGGACTATTCCCAACCCCCTTGCAGTGTGTTGTAAAACAGGGAATCAGATATTATCCATCCTATTTAGCACAATGGTCTAGCTCAATCCTCATTTCCTTCTGTAGCTACTGGACAAAGAACAACCAGTGACAGACTGTGAGAAAGGCATTCTGCCAACGGAGCAGGCCTGGCTTTCCAACCACGTTTTTACATAAGAGACCTCAACAAACCATCCCAAATCTTGTGATATTTCATCACCTTGCCAAATTACTAGCTGAGATAATAATGTAACCGCTATATCTGACATAGGAACCAAACCATTTGGAGATGGATGGGGAAGTAGTTGCATAAGCTTATTAAAACTGTTTTAACAGTAGAGCAGTACTTTTATGTTTCCAAAAATAATTAGAAGTCTAAGCAAACCAAAATTCTAAAGGTATTGTTTTTCCTTAAAAGGAAGGAATTGTTCAGCTTTAAAGGGACCCTTTACATGGGCCTATCAAGTCTTACATTTAATAGCTGTGTGGGGACTAGGCCACTGCATTTCAACTCACAATACTTATGTTTAAAAAAATCATTACAAAAACATCAAATTATTTAACAGTTTAGATCCACTGATTACTACCCTTTCTTTTAATCTTTGTCTTCACTGATTTGTCCAATGGGTATTTGATTAAGCTAAGTGAACTTTACCCCTTCTTCCTTCAATTTAAAATGCATTTTAAGCTGTGCAGTCTTGCTGAATTAGTGTTGCCAAGTACTGTATCACATAATTTGTTGCAACAGTCTGGTGTAGCTCAATGTTATAATAAATTTTGCCTTTCAAAATCTAAAAGCAAACTTGACCACAACAGGTATCAGTATTTGTGCAACCAGATACCACATATGAGTTTTAATGGATCTTTTGCCAACTTCAGATCTCCGTTTTATTTTCAAACTTCGGAGAAACTAAACTGACAGGGACACTGCCCTGAAAACAGCACCTTGAGATGTTCTTGTGTGAAATGAGATGTGCCAATTAGTGCTGCCAAGTTTTATAGCAAGCACAGCATTGCTAATTCATAGGGGGAAAGAGGAACTACAATATGAAATGCTACCACTGGATATGTAGATAAAGCTATTAAGTTCTGCTCCACCCCCGTACAAGAACCAGCACTCAATGAAGTCTCAAGGGCAGTATCACTTAAATTGTATCTGATGTTCATGCAGACGCACTGAAGAAATCAAATTCCTCATTTTAAGGAATTAACAGAGTTGAAAAACATGTAACTAGTGTCCTCAGCAGATTGGCAAACACTGAACACCCTAAAAAGCCTGCATGCATCAATAGGTGTCACTTCATGGCTTTGACAATGGCAGAGAAAAACAGCAAAAAATAAATAAATAAAAGTTTTTAAAACTAAACAAAGTGATTTGGAACAAAAATGAAGGTTGTGAAATGTAATTAATACCAGAAAGATTTTGCTTACCAGGTGGAATTGTGGCTGTTCCCCTCCCTTTGATGAAGTAATACAAGTGCTGGACTCCCTTTTTTCCTAATGATCACTTCTTTCCTAGTACATTGTACAGGAACTGTGGAATGTGGCAAATTAATACAAATCTTAAGCCCTCCCCTTCAGCCCATTTTGTGTACATGTGGCTAGAGAAAATTCAGATTTCCTCATCCTGGACCTCATCTTGTTAATTTCAGCAAGTGTTACCGACACCTGCTTAAATAACATGGGTCCAGTGGTAGCATTTCATCTATTAACAGTTAGGTTTAATTCAACTAGGCAACACACTTCCCCCCCCAACTCATCCCACCTCCAGAGACCTAGATTTTAAAAAAGAGAAGGGAAAAGAAAAGGAGAGGACATAAAGCCATCTGCTTGCCTGATACTATCAAAGGCACTGAACAAATTTGTCTACAAATATAGAACATTTGAGAAGTCAATGAAATCCAAAGTTCTTGGTGATGTTGCAACCTAAAAAACAAACTTTATAGTTTATGATCACATTTTGCACTTCTCAAGCTGTAGATATTTCCTATAGATGAAATGGAAGTGGAATTTTGTTAATTGTTTTGGAGAAGGTGACGGGAGAAGCCAGTTGTCCCCTCCCCCATCCGCTCTCCTTCCCTCTATTCCATGACTGCTTACTCTGGGCACCAAGCACAAGCTATTCAAGGGGAGGAGTTTTCTACAAGCTGCTTACATCAGCTCCCTGCCCAGAAAGCCTTGTGGGTTCTTGTGCAGAAGGAAGAAAGAAGCACTGACGCCATTTTAGAAATACAGACGGTTAGAGGAGGAAAAAACCAAAGACACTTCAGACTCTATTAAAAGAAAACTACAGCAATACAACCTCATCATATACACAATTTGTACCATTTTATGTCAGTTCTATAAACTACAACCTATTTAACATAGAGGGGGAGTACTTGTTGGGGAGTGCCAGACTCACACCACTTTTCATTATTTATCATTGTTGGACTAATACCCCCCTTCCCCCCTCCACACATGGGGGAGGCAGGAGAAAAAAAATGGAAACATTCTACAAAGGAATGATACAATGTCACTTTTCAGGGACAGCAGATAAAATAACACCGCCATATTGTAGTGGGTGAGAAATATATAAGTACGGCACATTTTTAAAAACACACTAGATTTCTTTTTGAGTCCAACAGATCTCTCCTCTATTAAAAAGGGTTTTTTAAAGATATTGGACTGGTTCAATCGATTTTCCCAAGTTGTTTTGCAATCTTTATTTCTAGATTGCCATTTTTAAAAAATTACACATCTAGATACATATTATAAAACCTTACTTTAAAAAAACCTTTTAACATTGACAATTTAGACGATAATGACAGTTCATTCCTTATTTTAAACTGACTCATTGCTGGCTAGTATCCAGTCATCGCTTTTTTTTGGTCCGTTTAAATCTTACCCTGCAATCTTTATGTACAGATTGCTTATTTAGCTCAACTTCCACGTCTCCCACACAAAGAAGCAGCACTTTATAGCTCAGTCACCACCATCTGTTATGTGGGAGCTCATTAACCCTTGACAGTCCTGGAGTTGATGGATTTTCTAGAGACCATCAAACTCCTTATAAATATGAATTTTTGGTGGCAAAACGCCTGCGTCTTAAGGGTTAACACCAAAAATAAAACCCTTCCCCTCCTTTTTTGGTCTTTTCTTCGTGCCATTAGCTCACTTCGACACAGCTGAATTTTTTTTTGTCAGTTGGTTGAAAATGCGACACTTACTATCCAATTAATTTTCTCGTCGACAGCGCCTCGTTTACTTTTGGATTAAGCTGTGTTTTTAAAGAAAAAAATGAATTTGGTTTTGCTCATTTTCTGAAAAAAAATAGCAACTTTTTGGTTGTAAGTAACAAAAAGTTACTTGACAAAAAAATCAGGGTTAAGTTGTTGCTAAATATTAATTTTGGTTTTTTTATGTTTTTAGTGGCAGTTGTTCTTCTTCGGATCACAAAGAATTTAACAGCTTCCCAGTACAGACGATCAGAAATATAGCTGGCTTTTTTGTGTGTCGTCTCAGAAGCTCAACTGTGGGGGAACTGTTCTTTGTTTCTCGATGCAAGTTCAACGGTTTCTCAAGACCCAAGCAAACCTACGGATGGAGGAAAAAAGGAGGACAAGGTTAAATTTCTTCCAAAAATTAAATCTTAACACATTATGTAAGCGATAAAGTACAATAGTCACGCTAAGGTTGCCCGAAACCAAAACATTCATTTAAGAAGAAAAACTACACTTTTACAGGGGATTTTTTAAAAAAAATGTATATAAAAATGGTTCAGGTCACCCTGGATTATAGAAGTTAAAAATAAAATCTCAACTGATAAACAGCCTCCGAAGAGATAAATTTAGGAAAACGATTACTACTTCAAAATGGCCATTATGACGCTTTCTGGGGAAAGGGGGCGAAATAATCATAACGTAATCCTTTTTGGTCCCCCTCCCCAACCATTCCCCACAATAACGTTCACAAGCACACCGTACTCACCTTTAAACAGACCCCAGAATGGCCGATGTGGGCGCGCGCGGCACTATTTATACCAGGCCACTCCCTCTTCCCAATCCCCCCTCCCATCGTCGCTCGCCGCGGCTGCAGAACAAAGCCTAGGAGGCGTGTCTTCAGTCCGCGACGTCATCCCGGCAGGCGAAATCTGACTCAAAATTTAAATCTACGGACAGTTTTGAAATCTACTTCTGATCTCCTAGCTAATGGTGTGCACAAAAATAAATTTTGTTTTCGTTAAAGTTTTTGACGCAGTTAGTGGGTTACCAGTGCGCATGCGGCAACGGTTGCCAGAATGGCGACGTTGGCGACGTGCACGCGCACAGCCTCCGCCCTACATTTCATGGGGAGGACGAGGAAAGGAGAGGGCGAAATGGTGGCCCCAAACAGGGCATGCGCGAGACAGTCCGTTTTTTACACAATGGCCGTCGTCCTGCTCATGCGCAGAAATGTTTGCTTCGGCGGCTCGCGATATGGGGGGGTGTTCATGGGGTCATGTGCGCGTGCACCAATTTCAGTAATTTAAAAAAAAATAACCAAGCAGAAGGGTTAGCCAACCAAACCCAATACGTGTGCATTTAAACAAGCTTAATGTTCGTTTTTGGGTGCAGATTTCTAATAGCTATTGGACCTAAATATAAGCTATAGGTATAGTGAAAGAGCGTATAGAGAACCCCCCTGCTTTCAAGGTGACCTTGAATTTGCAGTTATTGCGCATGCGCGTGGTGCGTTTTCTTTCCCCCCCCCTTGAGGTCTTCCAAAATGGCGGCCGCCTGCAGTGCCATACTGCTGGGCAGGGCTGCGGCCCAATTAGTGGTGCGTGCGGTAATTAGAAGGCCCTTATGGTCCCAGGTAAGGAACTATTACTTGTTTTATCAATCGCTGACTGTAACAAGACATAAGACATAAGAAATTTATTTGTCATTGCGCTCACAATGTGGCAAGGTGTTCTTTTTATTACGAAAGATGAGAGGTTTCTATGAGAATAACGTAATATTTGCTCCATCCTGTGAGACTAAAATTAAAACGTTTAGGTCTGACGTGGATCACAATGTTTACACGTCGGCCTTAAGTTGTTCTGTTCGTATGTAAAGCTTCTGCGTGTTCTGCACTCTTCAGACTGCAGGATGTTCACGATAATGGCAGCTGTACAGTGATTAATTGCAGTGAACAACTTCAGCCCCCACCCTTTTCTTTCTTTATTATTGCACTCAGGGATCTTTTTTTTACTTTGCAGAGGTAAAATACTTTATGATGTTAAGCGTGCGATCTTTGTTTATATGTTGGGAAACCGCATGGCCGCTATCCGTATTATAAATACGTGACAGATTCGTTAAAGTAGCTCTATGCGAACTTGTAACATCTAACTGAATGTATTTGCATGTCTGTTTTCCTCTCTGCAGTTTTTTTATCATCTGACCTCGTGGTTCCCAACTTTGAATCACCCAGGTGTTGTTGGACTGCAACTCCCAGAAACCCCAGCCAGCATGGCTGGTGGTGAAGATTTCAGGGAAATGCAGTCCAAGAACACATGGATTATCCAAGGTTGAGAATCGCTCCTCTAAGGAAGGCCTCTGTAGAGCTGGATACCTTGTATCTGTTATAACACAGCCTGATAGAAGTATTGCTCATCTGGATTTTGGAGTTTGTTTTACTTTTATGGATCATCATTACTGTGATGCTTTTTGAAGCTGCTAGGTCTCTATTAAATGGACAACATAAGCTTTGAGATGCCTATATGGTTGATTGTTCCCTCCCCCAAAATTTTGAATCCAATTTTTTTTTGCTGTTTGTTGTACTGATTCTCATTTTTTGGACTGTAGGTTTTTGCATTAAGCTGGCTGCCATGGTGTTTTATGACCAAATAAATAATATAGTAACTACTTGTGAGTCAAATTGGTGTGTCTTGCTTTTATCTCTGAGACAGAAACATTTTCAGTTATGTCTTCTTAGATGTGAGTCAGGAAATGTCTGCTCTTCAGACTTTTCATTCATTCATTCTTAGAAACCTTTATTGGCATTATATGGTACAAGGGAGTCTTGCTTTTATCTCTGAGACAGAAACATTTTCAGTTATGTCTTCTTAGATGTGAGTCAGGAAATGTCTGCTCTCCAGACTTTATGGACTGTATGGATGGTTGGATGTGCTGGGGGGGGTTGCCCAACAGTCCTTAGAGGGCCCTCCAGAGTCTCAGTAGACTCTCAGTGGTTTTAAGCCCTACCTGTTTCATAGCTGCTATGCACAAATATGTCAGGAGTTGTGAGTGTATTAAATACTTTTTTAAAAAAAATCTTACCTAGAAAATCAGTCAGTAGCTGTTACTATGATCAATAGCCATAGTAGAATAGCTGCCCCACAAAATAAAGACAACAGAGTCCTGTGGTATCTTGAAGAGTAACAAATGTCTGAGATTGTGAGCATTTACAGAGCCCAGTTCATTAGATGTATCTGTTCAAGTACAGTACTGTAATGCGCAGGAGCTGCTGGTGTGAGATGTTTGATAGCTTTGAAGGTGCTACAGGATTTTTTAATTTTATATTTTATTTATTTATTGTTGTTGTTGTTGCAGCAGCTTAAACAGTATAGCTGCCCCTTTGGAAATTAAAATTGCAATTGTCAGGATACTTAGCAAAGCCCTGCTATGCTCTGGGAGCCCTAATCGGTACAGAGGGATTGTGGTCCAAGTGTTTCAGGAAGTATACTAGGAATAGGTTTGAGTCTGAAACTCTGTTTGGGGAGTACTAGAGCTGGTTGTGTTATGCCAGGGAGAAATTCATGCAGATCCTGAAGATGCTGACGATCAAAGTGATCTCTAAGATGCCACTTGATTACATAGAGCAGGCATCTACTAGCTATTTTTTTAGAAGTTGGTACAACCAAAACCAAAATATAAGCTCTATTTTTGCATAAAGGTGTCTTCTGGATGTGTGTTCGGATCATTAAAATGAGAGAGCTTTGGGGTTCAGTGCATTCTGTTTGTCATGTCTGTCGTAACTATGGAGAAGCATTAGGTCTGCATGAACATTAGCCTACATTTTGTTTGATATGTGTACATCCAACTGTTCTTTCAGCAACTTCAAGCATACATAGTTTTTTTTCTTGTTCCTCATTCACCCCATGAGATAGATCAAGCAGAGAGGGCACGACTTAGCCAAAAATCACACATTGAATTTTGTGAACTTGGATCTTTGATTTTGTCTTCCTAGCCTGCATACTATACTGGCTTGACTTTTTTTTCAAGAACCAAACATTTCACGCTCTGGTTTGAAAGATAGCCAAGTAGCATTTTGTTTTTGCAGATTTCATTCCGCATTGTGCTGTAACTCTGAAAAAACCGTGATGGGGGCATGAGCAGGATTATGAAAAGCAAGCCACCCTCCTATTGTTTTAAGTGTTAAGGGATGGCAAAATTATGACACTTTTTGGTTGCCAGTAAAATCAAGAAATGACAATACTTGTTTTTTTTTTTCTTGTTCCTCATTCTCACAGCCCCCCATGAGATAGATCAAGCAGAGAGGGCACGACTTAGCCAAAAATCACACATTGAATTTTGTGAACTTGGATCTTTGATTTTGTCTTCCTAGCCTGCATACTATACTGGCTTGACTTTTTTTTCAAGAACCAAACATTTCACGCTCTGGTTTGAAAGATAGCCAAGTAGCATTTTGTTTTTGCAGATTTCATTCCGCATTGTGCTGTAACTCTGAAAAAACCGTGATGGGGGCATGAGCAGGATTATGAAAAGCAAGCCACCCTCCTATTGTTTTAAGTGTTAAGGGATGGCAAAATTATGACACTTTTTGGTTGCCAGTAAAATCAAGAAATGACAATACTGTACAATTGATTTGTATTTTGGGTAGTTTTTACTACCCCTGCTGGTTGTGTTAATAGCTGCATTTAACATTTGTCTTGCTTTGCTTTCTCTTTGAAGTCAATCAGCACTTTTGCCCGGCAGCCAGAACAAGTGCCTTTCCGTTTTTGCAGCACAAGGGCCAGCGAAGAAGAACCTACAGAGCCAGATACTTCTGCCAGAGAATCACGTTTTAAAGAGAAGCCATGGGAATATCTGCAGAGTGAAGGTAGCCGGAACACATAAATACAACAAACTGTACAGTTCTGTAGTAGTTTTTCCTAAAATCTCTACAATATTGGAAACAAAGTGAGCATTCGGATTCTCCAGAACTTTTCTTCAGACTGGGTGATACAAAATATCGGAACACATAAATAAGACATAAGACATAAGAAATTTATTTGTCATTGCGCTCACAATGTACAGTTCTGTAGTAGTTTTTCCTAAAATGTCCACAATATTGGAAACAAAGTGAGCGTTCGGATTCTCCAGAACTTTTCTTCAGACTGGGTGATACAAAATAGAGAGAATGGAGGAAGACAAAGAGTAAACAAGGATGGCCATTGTCTTCATGAGCAGACTGACTTCCTCAGACTGCAGAGCCTCAGTGGAACAAGAGGTTTCAAGGGTCTTAGTTTACATTGGGTGGAATCCTTATCAAAGTAAGTCACACTAGAGTAAACTTAATGGATTAGTGGAGATTTGGTGAGTCAGCTCCTGATAGGTTTTATTGATTCAAATGGACATACTCTAGTTGTGACTTTGTGATCGGGTTCTTCCTGAGCTGGTGACGGCTCCCTCATTTTGGCGGGAATAAGAGACGGAGGTGATTTTTAAAATCCAACAGGTTCAACTTTATTAACTTCAATGTCATGATTAACTAAATTAAATGGATCAAAACAGTTTAATTTTGGTAACTTAGGACTTTGGTTCCTGGAGTAAATATGTCTGTTCTCACATTGGGGCTGGACCAAAGCGCTCGCGATCGGTCATCTCCCTCAATGGGGGTGCTCTTTAGCGCACGCACTGTCCCACAGCAAGGGTGTCTCGGCCAGTCCCCTTCTAGAGGTGGGACATTATAAGAGGGACTGAGGCGAATCACCTTCCTCCCTCCACCTTGGTTGCACGGGTAAACTACTACTGTCCATTTTAGGGGTTTTACTCCCTTATTCTCCACTTTAGATAGATCTGGATCTGGTAGTAATCCTCCACCAGTCTTTAAATTCGGAAAGTCTTTTAACAAATCACAGATCTTAGTAGATGCTTCTTCTTCTCTTTCTGTTTGTACTGTGCAATCCTTAGTCTCTTTCCTTGTCTGGTCTGTTTCCATTCTAAATTCCCACTCATCACCCTGACTCTTTTATAACCTCCTCCCACACTATCAGGTCTTGCTCCTTCCCTTTCTCCTCCTCCTTATCTTCTGACAAGTATACTTCTGTTGCCCTCCTTTCTGTCATTCCTTCCTCCTCTTCTATTTTTATCAGTATGCCCTCTACACATCTGCATGTTTCCTCCTGCACGTTTTTTGTTGAGGACGGCTCACTAGCTTGCTCTCCTTCACAGACTTGTTACTCTAAATTGTCACAGCTAAATTAGGCCTATTTGAGTAATTTACAGAGAAGTTGACTCACCAAATCTGCACCAATTCAATTCTAGTGTGATTTCGCTATGCTGAGGAACAGAATTTCAGTCACTGTCCTCCTTTCTGCATTTAAAAACAAAACAAAACACTGTAACCCAATCTTTATCCATAGACTTGAGGGCAGCATATGAGAGAAGTGAGTTTTACTTCTCTGTACAGAAACACGTGTCCTACTCTTATGGTGCTTACACAGATACTGCTCAGGCTGGCTAACATAGAGTGTAGAATAGGGTATACACCATAGTGAAATCTACTTTTAAGGTTAATCATTTCTGGCGGTGGGTTGGTTGAGGAATCCAGTTATACTTGCTAGTTAAAAGAATTTCACACATGTAACAGAGTTGAAGAGATGAATCTGTACCTTTGGGAGGGTTTAGAATCTTAAACTAAGATTCTACTGGATAATACTGGACACAAGATGAAGCATAGGTAATGTAGGATAAAGATGAGCATTTGGAATTATCATGTAATCCAGTTCATTTGGACTTTGAGAGTTAAACTGCAAAATCAAAACTTTGCAGTAAATGTTCGTTGGAATGAGAACTTTTGTAGGGAAAGCCAGTGAAGTTAAATGATCATGACATCTGTAGTGCCAAGTCAGGAGGAGACTTTATGGAAACTCGATGTTCTTAATTTGGAGAAGCAGAAGCTGTAGGCAGGATGTTGATGATAATTAATGGTGGGGATGAAGTGGGGAGACAAAGCCACAGAACCATTAGAAATAAGGGCTGTCATCTTGTGCACTCATGTGTCAGAATAAATCCTGCTGACACACAATGTGTCTCATATTTTAGTAAAAGAAATAGGATTTTACTGAAGGATAAAGAATTTGAGACACAGCATGTTCCTAGGTTTGAATACAGTGCCCATGTTCTGTTTCAGATGAGTGCCAAAAGTGATTTTGCAAACCTCATCTCACGTATTAAACAAATAAAGGGTGGAAAAATGTCAAGGCTGTTGAATCTACTGTTTCTTGTACTTAAACCTTAAGATCCACCAGATGCAAAAGACATGTGCTTAAATCCTGATTGGAGAACAATTTGTCTCTACGCAGATTCTGAGTTTAGGAATGCAGTTTCAGAAGAGCTTAAGAAAAAAGTCTGCTCATTACCCTTGGGTTTCTTTATTTTAGTAGCCTAATTATGCAGGAAAAAGCATTTTGTTGTAGGTTTTGAAAACAGTTGCAAATCCAGAAACTCCTGCTGGATCACTGCATATTATCCAGACTGGTGTTAATTAACCATAAGCTGTTCTAAATATGCATGCACAAACAGTGCAGATTTTAAGCATGTTTACTTGGAATAACTTCCACTGGATTCATTTGGACTTACAGTGGTGCCAGAGCGCCTCTATTAATGAAAAAACTGAATAGCAATGAGGTTTTCAGGGCATTTTTTCACTTTGAATAGCGATGTTTCCTGTGGGCCATTATTGAATAGCGACCGTTGGGAAAAGCAAGCTCGCTGGCCAGGGAGAGATTGGCTCCCTCCTTGCACCCGATGCTGAGTTCCCTTCGCGCTGGGCTGAGCTTCCCCCCCAACGCGCGCTAAGGGAACTCACCATGGATGAATTGAATAGGTTTCAGTGCATTTCAATGGGGGAACCGCGTTTTGAATAGCGAGGTTTCCTTTGGAGATTTTCCAATTAGAATGGATTAGCCGGCTTTCAATGCATCTCAATGGGAAACCTCATTTCGAATAGCGAGGAAATCCAATAGCGATGTTTTTTGCGGAACGCATTAACATCGCTATTAGAGGTACCACTGTATAACTAAATATACTGCAACTAGTTGCTAAACTTGGATTCTCTGAAGATTATGTGAGACACCTTGACCTACCCACTGCAAAACATTTACTGAAACAGAGATTGTCCAATCAGTGGGTTCAAATGGATTTTGGTTTGTTAGGCACCCGAAAAACAGCCCCTTTTTATAAGAACATTTTACCCTTGCCTTTAAATCTTCCATCTTATTTTGCTGATTTCATGAGTATTGATAAAGCTTTTACTTGGCCACATTTTGATATGTTACCACTAGTCAGTTTATTAGGATGCTATAAACAAATTCCATATCACAAGAGAGTTTGCCCAAAAATCAGTGGAGAATTTGGCACATGTGGTGCTCTATTGTCCACTATTAGAGACCTATCGTAAAAGACTTCTCAACCCTTTTTTACAAAAAACATTCTAGTAATTCTGAACAAGAAAAGCTTAAGATTCTACTTTCTGACAGAGACAAATTTGTCACTTTCCAAATGGCACGGTTTGTCTACGTTGTTAACAATGAAATCTGTATCCCCCGCTTCTGCCAATTAAGTCAATACTTAAATAACTGGATTTTTGGGATTATTTCCCTTACGATAAGTGCTTGCTGCTGGCATTGGTTAATGTCTTCATCTGTCTTGTCCACTCCTTAGATGTTAAAACTTTGTGCCGTAATAGAAATCAACTTGATTTGATTCCAAATGGCTTTTAATATTTTACTGTACTATATTGTAATGTACTATATTATATTGTTTTATATTATTTTATCTGATGTATGTTGCAATGGCCTGTGTGCCACACAATAAACTTATTTTGCTTGCTTAAAAAAAAACTAAGTGTGGCCAGGATTACACTATAATTTTTCTAAACATTGTCCCTTTCTGAGATTGTAAATTTCTTGTTTCATCTTATGCACAGCAGTACTTGTCATGTTTGTGTGAAAGGGATGATTAATTGTGTGAGAATAATTAGTTCTAAGGCATTGAAGCTTTCTGGTGTATTGTATTAAGAAATTCTTGGTAAAACCAATCTGAATTATTGGCTTTTGTTCTGTCTCCCTTTTGCTCCATTAGAATACATAGAACGATATGGCAGCAATCCTGTCTGGTTTTCCTACAGGCGTAATCACAAGGGGCTGTTTCCACCACAGAAGACCCGGAAAACTTGCATTGTGAGTCCTTTCTGTTCCATTTCTGGGATGTGAGCCGGGAGAGCTGAGCTCTAGGTGGATGCTTTGCACAACAATGGAAATTCACTAACACAGCACAGACAAAAACACCTCTGCTAAGGGAGCAGTGTATCCAGGCTAAGTCATATGTAGAAGTCGCACATTTGAATTCAGTGATTCTGTTTGGTGCATCACTAAGTGTGCATGCAGTCCTGGCAATAGTGCCAAAGGTAGTGGAGGGCCTCCTCAGCCTGTAGAAGTTCTCCTATGTAGTTTGGATCTCTGGAAAACTAGGGATCCAGATAGTGTGGGAAACAACTACAGACAGAAATGGAGGTGATCCTCCATATACAGACAGTGGGTGGAACATATAACAAGCTGGGCGAGCATTTATTTGTGTGGTTTCAGGAGAACTGGAGGGCTACAGTCTCACTAGATCCTGTGATGGCACTCAGTTTTTCAGAGCCAGTATGTGAGTGCATATTACCTGAGTAAATCTTTGTTATGCTGAATAATATCCAATTCATGAATCTCCAGCTTTGTTTTTCTTTCTGCAGAGAGGATCTAAGGTGTGCAGCAACCCCTGCCCTATCTGTAGAGACCATAATCTTTTCCTGGATTATAGGGTAAGAACAATTCTTTCATTATGTTGGTATTCAAATATATAATGTATTTTTTTTGACTGAGAATCTTCAAACATTAATAATAAAACAACCAGAATAATATGAAACCCATCAGATATTGGAAGTGCTGGATGTAAACTAACCACTAGCCATGTTAATCAAAGCAGGTGTCCTGGGAATTAAAAAGAATGAAGGGAGTTAGGAAACCTGAAGGCTTTTGGAAGATGGCTGCCCTGACATTTGCAGGCTGACTGGTAAAACATAAGGCAATCTTTCTGGAAGAGAAGCATCGTGCTCTGTTACTACTGCAGAGAAGGCTTTAGCCTGCTTTGCCATTAGTGTTTTAGTCAACATAAAATACGGTTGCTAGAACATCTCTGGTGTCTGTGGTGTACCGTATTTTTCGCTCCATAAGACGCACCAATTTTTTAGGAGAAGAAACAGGAAAATATAATGTTTTCTTCGCTCCATAAGACGCACAGACTTTCCACCCCCCTGTTTTGTGGGGGGAAAGTGCGTCTTATGGTGTGAAAAATACGGTAATTTGATTCTTGATTTTTTGCATGTAGAACCTGTTATTTAAAACATGTTTGTCTTTTTGTTATATAAATCACGTGCTTTTCTTTCCTAGGGTGATTTAAATGAGAGTAAAATAATCAGACCCAGGTTCAAAAGCAGGTTAATATTGGAAAACATGTTTTAAAATGTTCTCCAGAAAAGAGTTTTTTAAAAAAAAAAACATTTTCTATTCCTTTCATCCTACAGAATGTGAAACTTCTTGAACAGTTTATTTCTCCCAATACTGGTATCATCTACCATCCAACACACACAGGTAAGCTAACTTTTGCCCCTTCCCCATTATATCTAATTCGTTTATGCATGTCTTTCTTTTGAAATTTCCAGCCAGCTTTGCAGGAAAATGAGATAACTCTGGATCTGTTTCACTTTCTCGCTCCTTGGTGTAATTGGCTGCAGTTGCCATGACAATTACCCTGTGGGGCCATCCGGTTTTGCCTCAACTGGATGGTTGCTTGCCATATTTCCTTCCAACTCCCACTCTGCATTATTTTCATTGACATTTATGTCTTTACATGACATCTGCCATTCCCGGCCAGTGTGGCCTGGTGTGTTGGGAGTTCCAGCCCAGCTTCATTTGGGAACCAAAGGTTGCAAAATGCTGGCATGCATATGGATGCCCCCCTTGGTGGAAATAGGTAATATATAGAACAAGTTCCAAAAACTGCTCATCTCTCCAGAGTGATAGCGAAACTGTTTGGATAGGTATTGCTAAATGTTCTTGTACAGCTCTGAAATCAGAGGTGGAACACAAACACCGTTTAACTGTTAAATGAACTGAATGGGTGAAATGAGAGAACCTGAAATAACAATTATAGGAGTAGGCCAAATTCATGCAGCACAGGACTTTAGGAGATTTGAACCTGTATCACTGTGATCTACAGTATGTCCAGTGTTCTTATCACTGTTAATAACTGTTCTGGACACCACACTTTTAAGAAGGATGCCAACAAACCAGAGCAAGTTCAGAAGACAGCAAGGATGACCAAAGCGGTTTGCACAGTACTAAACTAGAAACCTCCATATGTTTTGGATTAGAAGTCAGGTACCTGCTTAACGGTGGCCATGCTGGCTCAGATATTTTGGGATCTGATTGAGAGAGCCACAGTTTCTCCTGCCTTGGCATAATACGGCTGGATGGGTAGCTCAGTGACTTAGGTATCTGACTACAGAGGCAGAGGGTGGAAGTCAGTGCCTTCTGTGTGTCTCAGAAGAAGGGCCAGCCTCTAGAGCACCTCCAGAAGAAGGGAATGGTAAACCATTTCTGAGTACTCTATACTTAAAAAAACACTGAAAAGGGTTGTCATGAATCAGACCTCACTTGACAGCACATATTTACTACTACTATTATTATTGGCATAGTACAAGAATAGTAATTGTTTTCCAGCACTCGAATTCTTGAGTGTTCAAGTCCCAAGTTGATGGAAGTCTGGTCTCTGCTCTAGCCATTGTAAGGAGGGCTCTATTTTTGCTGTACTTTCAGGTTTTCCTCAGTAGCTTTCATTGTTATTCCTACTGGTGAGGCTGAAGTACCTTTTTAGGCATTCTGAAACAGTATAATAAACAAGTTTAAAAGTGCTAGTCTCATCTCCTCCTCTTTTGCCCTTTTCATCCATACTCTACATTGAAGGGGAATGCCTCCTTATCAAAGCAAAAAGGCAAAGCAAAGCATGCTACTTCTGTACAGAATGCTCGACTAAACAACCCTTTAATCTGATTCTGTAGAATTTTGTTTATGTTTACATGTGTGCGTTTAGGGTCCCTTCCTGAGAATGGTCTGTAGGCCAGAAGGAGAATTTCCCACACAGAGAGTACTTCCTTTAGAAGGGGTTCTGTTGCATAACTGAGTTGAACCACTTCATCTGTGCTGCTGGCATGGAGAAGCTACCAGAACTCAGTAGCAGAGCACATACATTGCGTGTGAACAGCTGAAGCGTAATCCCTAATATCTCCATTTAAGAGGATATGGGAGCACATTGTGGGAATGACCTTTTTCTGCCTGTGACTCAGGGGAACTGCTCCCACTTAGGACTCAATCAGCAGAGCTACATAGCTGGGTGACTAGAACAGTGACTTGATCTTAGGCAGCCTTCTGTACTCTACTATGTGTACATTATTCAACAGCTATACATTTTCTGGAATGGAGCACATTTCTTCACTTTTGTTTTAAGCCTCTCAAGCTTTTCTGTTTAATATCTAAGGTGGTTTATATAAAATATTTAAAACTCTGGAAGAGATCAGCTAAACGCCACAGGCCCTAAGGATTTGATGGAATTAAATGGCTTTTAACCTGGGCCCTAAGAGTGCCTGGTAAATGTGCCTGGATAATGTATTCTACTGGTGAAGTACAATCTGTGACATAAAAAGTTGCGGCAGAAATCCAGGTAACCTACAATACTTGGAACAGGGCTTCTAGGAATCTTAAGAAACAGACACATTGGCAAATCTACTATTGGGTATATCCAAAATCCATAGATTCATGGAACAAGGGTGGATTTTGATCCTTTCTCCTCCTTCCCCTTTCTCCTCCTTCCCCTTCTTTCCCCAATCCCTCATTGTGATCAAGGTCTTTCAGCAGTGTCTGTGTTATGCTTAAAAGTTTGTTCTCTCTGTTTCAGGCATCTGCATGAAGAAATACAAGCAACTGACCCAAGCTATTGAGGAGGCTCAAAACAATGGTGAGCAGTATTACATTTGGCTCTGAGAGAGGAGAAGAGTTTGGTGAAGGGGGCCTGAACAAGCTGCCCCCACTGTGGCCAATTAGATCTCTTTGAGAAGCCCACAGTACAGCTTCATTGCAACAGCACTATCCTGGCCATATTCCCCAGCTGCTTATTAAAGAAGTTTTATGTGTCTGACTCTTGACCTAATAAATAATCTCTGTGTTGTCCTCTATAAATTTGTTTAATCCCTTTTTAAAAACATCCTGTTGGTGACTTTCAGTGCATCGTGTGGTGACAGTTTCCATAGTTTTAACTCTTACTTTGTGTTTGTCCGGAGTTTTCCATTGTTCACCTTCATTGGCTGATCCTGGATTTTAGCGTTTTATAAGGGAGTGAGACAGAAAAACATCTCCATATCCAGTTTCCTTCACTGCAAGTGTAAATTTATGTACTTCTATTATCCTTCGCTCCTGCTCTCCATTCATATGAGCTAAACATCCATGAATATTGTAACTTTTCTGCTTATGTGTTTTGCTTCTGCAGAGAAAGATCTATCCAGGGCTGAGTTCTTGCCTAGAGATGACCAGGCAAGGCTGAGGTCACATGATCTAGAAAAATCTTTTTTTGGCTCTTTCTTCAGTGCGTTTCTTAATGTGTTAGCCCGAGGCAGCATTTACTATTTCAGTCTCCTTTTCATGAATCTTTTGATTTGTATGTGATTGTTTCCTTTTAGCTGTTTCTGTGTTCTATTTTATCATTTTGGTTACTTTTTTCTGCACAAGCAGAAGCAGTGATAACTCTCCTGACACAGAAGTAGTTATACATTCCATATGGAAGTGAACCTTTGTAGATGACTAAAAAGGGTACAAAAAAGAGTGCAGATGCACACAAAAGTGCTTTTGACAACATACTTCTGATGGCGTTAGCTGTTAAAAGTAGCTCGGGAAAGATAAAGGAGGCTGAGTTTTAGTCCTTGTTTGCCTGTGGTTTCAGAATGTAATGGAGAAGGAAATTGTAATGGCAAGGAAATGGTTCTCACCCCAAGGGTGATAAATTTTACCCAGGATAGTTTGTGGACTCACTGGCTAGAATCCTGTTGCCTGTTTATCTTTGTTTAAGGGAAAGTACTGGTGCCAGATTGCCACTCATTAACAAAGTGCTGGTTGCATTCTGGGCCATGTGCCTTTATATGTCCTGAGTTCTTGCCACATTGTTTCTTAATGTGTTAGCCCGAGGCAGCATTTACTATTTCAGTCTCCTTTTCATGAATCTTTTGATTTGTATGTGATTGTTTCCTTTTAGCTGTTTCTGTGTTCTATTTTATCATTTTGGTTACTTTTTTCTGCACAAGCAGAAGCAGTGATAACTCTCCTGACACAGAAGTAGTTATACATTCCATATGGAAGTGAACCTTTGTAGATGACTAAAAAGGGTACAAAAAAGAGTGCAGATGCACACAAAAGTGCTTTTGACAACATACTTCTGATGGCGTTAGCTGTTAAAAGTAGCTCGGGAAAGATAAAGGAGGCTGAGTTTTAGTCCTTGTTTGCCTGTGGTTTCAGAATGTAATGGAGAAGGAAATTGTAATGGCAAGGAAATGGTTCTCACCCCAAGGGTGATAAATTTTACCCAGGATAGTTTGTGGACTCACTGGCTAGAATCCTGTTGCCTGTTTATCTTTGTTTAAGGGAAAGTACTGGTGCCAGATTGCCACTCATTAACAAAGTGCTGGTTGCATTCTGGGGCATGTGCCTTTATATGTACTGAAGAACATAGTCATTAATGAGTTGTGATTTGCTGCCAAGACTTGGGTAATTTCCCTTATGGAAATGTAAATCAGCAGTAGAATTTTGGCCACTGAATGGGAAAGCTGGAAATTTTAAGTATTCCATTATAGTAGATCCCGCACAATAAACTTGAAACTACACCAGCTTGATTGGTGGAAAACAGAGAGCTGCACAGTGGTCTTTTCTGCAGACTGCTTGCATGGCTGTAAGATAACGCAGCCCTGTCTGTTATTTCCAACTAGGGATGGAACGTTAGCATTTTAAGTACTTTTGCTCTTATAAATAGGCAAGAAATCCCTAAGCCAAATTATGGGTGTGAAAGCCTTCCAGACATCAAGAAGTAGAGCATCCCACTCTCTCTGCTATTCCCTTGCCATTTCTCCCTTGAGCAGAAGAAAAAGCACACACACACAAACACCCCGCAGGGTGGGAATTGTGAGGCTTCCCTCGAGCAGAAGAAAAAGCGTGCACGCACGCACGCATGCGCACACACACACACACACACACACCCGCAGGGTGGGAATTGTGAGGCTTCCCTCTGACTTGTAGAGGTGGATGGGAGAGAAAATTAAGAGAACTGAAATACTTAAATTCATAAAGTCTCGGAAGTCTTTCATTAAGATCTTCATGTTACATAGTTTGAATGCCGCGTCATAGACATATTATTTATCATTGTAAAATAATGCGTTTCACACTCCATTTTGTTTCAGTTTTTCCAAGAAAACAAAAACAAAAAATGGCTTTTGAAAAAACTGGGGAAAAAAGTATGCGCCCCCCCGCCCCCAATGTTTCCATTTTTCCCCAGGCCTTTCCATCTTTATCCACACCCTCTAAACACAAGCAGCTTCCATCCAAACTCATGCTCCTTTGCACCTTTGGAGATTGCTGCGGATCCTTGTAACTCCTATATTGCAGCACTGTTTTTTGTTGTGTTTTGTTTTGACTAATGTCTCTTGCCAGTACGGGGGATTTCACTCCCATAATTCAGCTTCAAGCAGCTTCCATCCAAACTCATGCTCCTTTGCACCTTTGGAGGTTGCTGGTGATCCTTGTAACTCCTATATTGCAGCACGTTTTTGTTTTGTTTTGTTTTGACTAATCATAGAAGAAGGTGACATGGAAATGGCGGAGAGGCTGCTCTGTCTCTTGCCAGTAGGGGGATTTCACTCCCATAATTCAGCTTTGCAGTGGGGGGGGGGGGGGCAACACAGGGGATTGGAAGTCCCTAAAATATGACAGTCCCATCTCTGTCACCAAGACTGTGGTATGAAATTTAACTAGGGCCCAACCACAGAAAGGTATTTATGTGTGCTATTTTACCCACACATCTGACACTTTTACTTGTTTTCTTTCTTTCAGGTCTTTTATTCTTTACCATCCCCTTCACCAGTTTCAAAGATGAGGATTACAGCAACCAGCATCCAGCCGTCTCCAAGACCCCTTCAGCTCCAGCTCTGCAGAGCAAGTCTGCATGGTATGACTGGTATGAGTGGCAGCAGCCCCCAGAGAAGGAAATTAAGGTCCTCAGGAAGATTTACAAGGACTTCTTGAAGGAGGAGTGTGGTCCTCCTCCATCGTCTAGTAGGTGACGACGGACAGAATGCAATGGTTCTGAAGGTTGCCAAATTTATATTTAAACATTTTCCAAAAGGCAACTTGGCTGTGACCCTAGTTGTCTTCTATTTTTTTCTCATTCCCTTAGGTTCTCGTATCAATAAAAGCAAAGCTTACCCATGGATCTTGCGATTCAACTTTTTCTGCAATCATTTGATGTGATAAATGTGTATATCCATGAGTGGGTGGAGGTTTCAGGCACAGGACAATCAAAATAGTCAGTGCCATATTGAAACAGATATCAAAACCTGTTTTCTTGTTACATTAAACAGCTATGTGCAGCTAAAAACTTTATTCTCCCTCTGCCACCATTTTCATCTTGATAGAGATGCACAGCATTATAAAACCTTTACCACGTATGTGTAAATTATCTAAAATGTAAAACTCAGTTTCTTTGATCAGTTTTGATGCATGTGTGTCAGCTATCAGCATAAGCCTTCTCAGGGTAGTTTCTGACTCTTAAGCTGTGATATCTAAAGTACAAAATTCATCATATGGTGAAAAATACTACTCATGAAAATAAAAAAGAGCAGTTAAAATAGTGCAAAGCAGCCCTTAATTTGTTAAAAGCATAATTATTGGAGGGGGAGGAAGTCTTCAAGGTAAGATTCAACAACAGTGCTTACTGCCCTAGAGAAAGAATTGCTGTTACATGGCACACTGTTGAAACTATGGAAGTATAAAAGGCAGTGATGTGAAAATTGAGGAAGTTGAAGAAAAGGAAGAAAAGCTTCCTGTTGATACCAGATACACCACATGAAGATATTGAGAAAAATGAAAGAGATTTGTGTTACATCATACACTTCCTTTGGAAACTGGTAAAATACAGAAGGGCCATCCTTCCATTTCCATTCTATTTACTGATCAACCCATTGAATTGAAATTGTGAAATACAAAAATCAAAAGGCAGATGACTTGTGAAAAACAGCATCAGATTAACAAATTACGGGGGTGGCTGAAGTGTAAACATCAGACTGAATTGTACATTTATTGGGGAGAACACACCTGGTGATATTGTAATATATCAAATATATTGTGTTATCACTCTTTTTTGAAAAGATGGCTTCTAAGCCAAGGAGTGTGAAACAGGTAGACAGACGTTGAAATGTATGGCTCTCTAGATTTCATGACTCTAAAATCGAACTAGACTGAGTAAAATCCACTGCCAGCTAGTCACTGTTGCTAGATTATCTAATTGAATAGTTGCAAAAATTTATAAATTTGAACAGCTGAGTCAAGATCCACTGTTTCAAACATTTTAATAAGTCAGCTCAGTGGCTGTATGCTTGAGCCTCAGAAGAGCTAGGTCTGTGATATAAATTCCTAAGAAAGGAAAATGTTCTGTCTACTGTAAATCAGTATCTGTCATTTTATTATTTTAAGAGTCATGAGATCCAGTCAGCTGTACATTGCAATGTCTGCCTGCCATTTTTGTGGAATTTGTATACTTTATTAATCTTTCATTTTTAGAAGTCAGACTTTTTATATATTAAAAAAATTATTGTTGCTACTGAAATACATGACATCCAGGTCATAAAATTACAAACCCTCAGGATGAGGACAAAGAATTGTGAGGAAGGATTTCCCTATATCAGCATATGATGTAGAAGAAGGAAGTGAACATTTTATTTGAATTTACAAAGTCTGGGTAATAGTTTCGGGTGCTATTACCACTTCTTCATGGATTCTGGACTTCAGCAGTTGCCTCTTCCAGAAGTTCTGTATACCAGATTTTGGCAGACCAATAGGAAATTGTGATGTTTGCTGTGCAATGAGAGTCCAGTGGGCTGCAATAAAGTTGTTTCTGGTTTTCATTGTGGGAACTTGGTCACATCTGAGAATATGATTTGAAAAGGTGAAATATAAGTAAATTCACTCAAGCAGGTTTTTTTGTTATTGGTGAGGATCTTAAAATGGTAGAATAGCCTACAAGGCCATTTAGTACAACCCCTTGCTCAGTGCAAGAATACCTGTGAATTTAAAAATGTGGTCAGGTAGGACTGCATCACATTCCTTTCCTGGAATTATTTTTTCACAGTGTAGTGCCAGATGTGGCAAAAAAATATTTTGGACTCAAGATAGCATGTTACTGGATTTCTATTGTCAATTATCTGAATCTAGTCACATTTGTCTAACACATCATCAAGCACAATATATAATCAAAAACAATCATCCTGTCCACACTTTTAGTAAGTGGATCTTGTTAGGAGAGAAAAATGTTACTCTCCTAAGATAATGTAAAGTAATAAGACATTTTGAAGCTATTTTTTCTGCACTACTTTTTTTATAATCTCAGACACATAAATCTTGACCTTATTGTTAATGTTCATAGATTTCATCAATAAATGTTCTGAAAACAATGTGAGAAAAAGTGATACACTGCTAATACCTTGTACAGTGGTGCCTCGCTTAGCGATGTTAATCCGTTCCAGGAAAAAGTTGCTAAACGATTTAATCGGGAAGCGATTTTAAAAAGCCCATAGAAACGCATTAAAGCGTGTTTAATGCGTTCCTATGGGCTTAAAAACTGACCTTATGCGAAGATCCTCCATAGGGGCGGCCATTTTTGGTGCCTCTAAAGCAAGGCAAAACAGCGGGTGGCCATTTTGTTTTTCCGGCGGCCATTTTGGAACCGCTGATCAGCTGTGCAAAAAGGGTCGCTTTGCCATGATCGCTTCCCCACGATCATCGCAAAGCGATTTTTCCCATAGGGGCCATCGCTAAGCGATCGCTCTGGCGATGGCCAAAACCCCATCACTAAGTGATTTCATCGCTCAATGGAGCGATCACTAAGTGAGGCGCCACGGTATCTTTTCCTACAGGGGCAGCGTGAGGTTTCAGAGAATACTCCTATCTAGGCATTAGCTAGCCCCAGGTTAAAATAGTTTTTCTAATAAAGTATGTGTTTCTATTCGAAACAATTGTGCTTGATTACAAAAATCTCAGAACAAAGAAAGCAAATAAAGAGGCATTATCTCAGCACTCAGTTTTTTAAATTCTGTTCTCAAAACTTTTCAGTGTCCTGGAGTACAGTGGTGCCTTGCAAGACGAGCGCCCAGTTTAACAATGAAATCGCATTACGACGAACTTTTTGCGATCGCAAAAGCGATTGCAAAATGATGTTTCCAATGGGGGAATTTCGCTTTGTGATGATCGGTTCCCTGCTTCGGGAACCGATTCTCGCAAAGCGACCCTTTTTGCACAGCTGATCAGCGGTTCCAAAATGGCCGCCGGAAAAACAAAATGGCCACCCGCTGTTTTGCCTCGCTTTAGAGGCACCAAGTTTAGAGCGCCCAGTTTAACAATGAAATCGCATTACGACGAACTTTTTGCGATCGCAAAAGAGTTTAACAATGAAATCGCATTACAACGAACATTTTGCGATCGCAAAAGCGATTGCAAAACGATGTTTCCAATGGGGGAATTTCGCTTTGTGATGATCGGTTCCCTGACGACGATTTTCGGCCAGCTGATCGGCGGTTTCAAAATGGCCACCGGGTAAAAAAAATGGCTCCCCGCTATTTTCTGGGACGGATTCCTCGCTGCATGGGCAGCGAAAATGGCCGCGCTATGGAGGATCTTCGCTGGACGGTGAGTTTCAAGCCCATAGAAACACATTAATCGGGTTTTAATGCGTTTCTATGGGCTTTTTTATTTTGCATTACGACGTTTTTCTACAGCGATTTCGCTGGAACGAATTAACGTAATGCGAGGCACCACTGTACTTCATTTGTTGGGTTTTTCCTCTTCACATAATGTTTTCAGTTTTAGGCAGTTACACACAGAATTCAATGCATACATTTTGACGTGCAGATGCTTGCTGAATAGCTCCATGACTTGGGTGTTAGCAGGCAATGGTTGTGAGTCTGATTTCTCACTGTGGTAAATCAGTGGTTCCGAATCTTGAACAATCCAGGTGGTCAATCCAGTTGTTGGACTGCTGTTCCCAGATGCCTTCACCACCAGCTGTGCAGGCTGAGGTTTCTGGGAGCTGCAGTCTAGGAACTCCTGGGTTACCTTAGGTTGGGAACCACTGTGGTACAAGCACTAACCTGGGTAGCTTTGGGCAAGCTGTACAGTCCAGTGCCCTCCAAAAGAAGGAAATGATAAACATTTCTGGTTATACCTAGAAAACCCATGGAATGGTTACCGTTAAATAAGAATTGACTTGACATGTAATTAAAACATTGAACATGCATGTTCCTCCAAGGGAATGATAAACATTTGTGGTTATACCTAGAAAACGCATGGAATGGTTACCATTAAATAAGAATTGACTTGACATCATGTAATTAAAACATTGAACATGCATGTTGAAAAGTTCCTTCTAACTGATTTCCCCATGTGTTGTACCTGGATTCAGTTTCTACTGGAAGCTGTTGTGGTGCATCATCATCTTAGAACTGCAGAGGAATGATAAACATTTGTGGTTATACCTAGAAAACGCATGGAATGGTTACCATTAAATAAGAATTGACTTGACATCATGTAATTAAAACATTGAACATGCATGTTGAAAAGTTCCTTCTAACTGATTTCCCCATGTGTTGTACCTGGATTCAGTTTCTACTGGAAGCTGTTGTGGTGCATCATCATCTTAGAACTGCAGAGTTGGAACGGACTCTATGGACCATCAAGTTCACCCTGTCAAGGAGGCACAGTGGGGAATTGCCATCAGGTTCAGCCTGTCAAGGAGGCACAGTGGGGAATTGAACTCCCAACTTCGGGCTCCACAGCTAGAGACTCAAACCCCTGAGCTATCCAGCAGTTGAGAAATGAATATAAATCTCTTCCCAGCTGTGAATGTAGCAGGGTATAATTTGGCAGGCTCCTGCCCTGAACCTCAAAAGGTTGTTACGAGGCTAACGTAATGTTCTGAATTTACTGTGGGAAGGCGGAATTGCAAGCATACCTAAGATGCATGTACAAGCTAAATGCAATCTATAAAGCAATTAATTTATGATGATAAGTGGTGTTATGCATAACGACAGTGTAGAATAATGCAATATTCACATGTCTGCCAACAGCAGAGCTCAGGTAGTCATGAACATTATTCATTTCTCAGCATGTGCTTACCTTTCTGAAACCGCCTTCCCCTGCATGCCTTTCGCCTAATTATTACTCATGACGTGATTGTGCAACACAGAGCAGTACCTGAAGCTAATTATTTTCCACATTCTGTGAGAAAGATACCAGTATCAAATATTGTTTGTTGCTTTATTATTATATACAGTTTTGTGCTTTTTAAAATATAAAAATAGTACAGAAGTGATTAAAATGAAGCCAGACCTGTAGGCTGCAATACCGTTTTCCTGAGAGTCAGCCTAACAGAAAACAAACTTTTTTTTTCTTCCCAATGGACATGCAAAGAAAAAATTGTTATATATATCTTAACTGTCAAGGTCCAGGACAGAAAGTTCAATCAGGAAATACTTCACTTTCTAGAAATGTGCTAAGCAGGGAATTTAAAACTGTGTAATACAAAAAGAATTCCTAGAAATGGGCTATACCTGCAGCAGAATCAAGTGCCAATAAGGTGGAAGAGTTCTGAGGCATTAGAAGAAATGATGATGATGATGATGATGATGATGATGATGATGATGATGATGATGATGATGATGATGATGATGATGCATTGACTAATCCATTCCAACTTCATTGATTAATCCATTCCAACTTTGGAAGACCCTTTCTAGAAAACAAAACCTGGCATAATTTCAAATGGAAAGTGGAGAACTCATATGCTGGCCCATATAATAAATACTTCTCAAGTGTAGGTTCAATGCACATTTGGTTTAACATTATAGCCAACTAAGGCTGTTGTGCTGTGCCCACCATGAATCTCAGTGGGAAGTACATTTGATTAGGCCACAATAGGGTTGCACTCTTATGACTCCAGAGCTGTACACAGATGGAGATTATTAAGAGGAGCTGTCCAACTGCTACTGAACAGGGTTCTGCTGCCCAGGTGGGTTACATCAGTGGTTCTGCAATTCCACAAGCCTTCACTGCCAGCTGTGCTGTCCGGAGTTTCTGGGAATTGCAGTCCAAGAACACCCGAGTTACTAAAGATTGGGAACCACTGATTTACACTGTAAATCATGCATATCCCAGTAAATATGCTTCAGTATTCTCCAACAAGCAGCAGAAGAAGAAAAAGCAGAGACCTCACCTTGCCGACAAAGGTCCGCATAGTCGAAGCTATGGTTTTTCCTGTAGTGATGTATGGAAGTGAGAGCTGGACCATAAAGAAAGCTGACCGCCGAAGAATTTATGCTTTTGAATTGTGGTGCTGGAGGAGACTCTTGAGAGTCCCCTCGACTGCAAGGAGAACAAACCTATCCATTTTGGAAGAAATCACCCCTGAGTGCTCACTGGAAGGACAGATCCTGGAGCTGAGGTTCCAATACTGTACTTTGGCCATCTCATGAGAAGACCTTGATGTTGGGAAAGTGTGAAGGCAAGAGGAGAAGGGGACAAGAGGACGAGATGTTTGGACAGTGTCCTCAAAGCTACCAACATGAATTTGACCCAACTCCGAGAGGCAGTGGAAGACAGGAGGGCCTGGCGTGCTCCGGTCCGTGGGGTCACAAAGAGTCGGACACGACTTAACAACTAAAGAACAACAATTCTTCAGAGTCATGGCACCCATTGGACAGGGCTCATTCCTGAGGGCTTAAATCCTTTTGCTTAGGGTAGTAAATTGCACTAAATAAATGGGGATTTAGCTCTTCCATAAATTCTGCTCATTGAGTAGTGTCTGTTCTATTAGTTGCTACTCACTATGTGAAAGCAAGTCACTACAAGAGTAAGCCTGTTTCAGTCAATGGACCTTCAGAAGGAGCTGACCCACCGAAAGCCTTACTGATTCAATGGGCTTACTCTAGTGTAACACTTAGGAACAGGATTTCAGCCAAGGGGATGAAATAGCAACGCATCCTTCATTGACCCAGTCGTCTCTCACTTTACATTCTTCCTTTTTTCCCCCCACAGCACCTCTTATTAAGCTGCTCAGTCAGGCTGTGGTGCCCGCCTGGGAACGCGCCCCTTCGAGTCTAGAGAGACGGGCTGGGAAAGATGGGCATGGAGGCGCACGTTGCTAAGGAGGGGGGGAGTGAAGAGAGAGACACGTTCTGTTGCTAGGGCGACCCTAGCAACGAAGCGCCGCGAGCGGGGCCCGGGCGCTAAGGGCGGAGCCGAGCGTCTCTCTCGCGCGCGGCGTTGCTGCTGAGGAGGTGGGACGGGCGGAGCGGTCGCCTCTCGCGCGGTGGAGGCGGAAGTCCCCCCGCGATCCAGCAGGGAAAGAAAGGGACCCGGATGCGGGCGCTATGGAGTTCCCTTTCGACGTGGACTTGCTCTTCGGGGAGCGGATCACCACGGTGGATCAGCGCTTGCAGCCGCCCGGCCGCCGAGGTGCCGGGTTCGCCACGACCCACAGGTAAGGAGGAGAACGGCATGATCTTTCCTTCCCCCCCCCACACCTTCCTCCTTCTTGGTCTATACCGGAGCATTGTTTGAGCTGCTCCAAAGCAGTGCAAGGGTGGAGGATAACGGCTTCCTTGCCCATTGTCCCAAGGCATTATGGGAAATCATATTATTTTTTGGGGGGGGGACTCATCCTTTCCCACCCACTCCCTGCTGGGAGCGCGTTCCCGGCTCACTTCTCTCCATTGTCTGAAGCCCTGAGCAATCATGGCTTTTACACACCCACCCATTGTCTCAGGAGCACCGGAATGTTGCGTGATTCTTGCCCTGTGGTTGGTTCTCCCAAAACATGATGGGCGCAGAGTTAAGGCTTTGGGTTTTGTAATAATAATACTAATACTAATAATACTA